AAAAAAATGTCATTTCTTCAATTTATTTCCCTAAAAATATAAATAAATCAAGAACACACAAAGTAATAAAATTCACTGTATGTATAGCCAGATTAAGGATATTAAAATTCATAGAATTTACTCTTATGAATATTATTACAATATAGTTAATTTCAACTAAGGAGTTAATTAATATTCAGAACATGTGCTACAAAGCTTTGAATTTTCTCTTAAATATTCAAATTTTACAAGTAAATCAATAAATGTATATTTTTGTATTTCATTGTACTTGCAAATTAATACTTACAGGGAATCGTAATTCTCTTTCCAAAATTTGTTCTCCTATCACATGGATCACCATTTCTTCCGATTTATCGAGAAGAAGCACCAAAAACGTAACCCTTGTATTCGTTGCATTTTGTATCTGCAACATAAATTACACCATTAAAAATCCTACGGATAATTATAGTATACGTAACGCAACGTATTCGAACGGGGACTTGAATGCCGCCAAAAATTCTTGCGCACATGATAAAAATATTGACAGTATTACTGTAACTCACGAATCTGTTCAGCTTCTGCTGGACTTGTGGATACGATAGACCACAGAATTCCTCGAGAAGCGCAAGTATTTTCTCTGCATACGGCACGCTCGTGTTGAGTGAGGACATATTTTTTCGCTTTTCAAATGGCTTTTTCAGTGACAATTATTATTAGCCGTTTATCCGCGTGATATTGTGATGCATTGGCCGCGCTCGTACATAGTGGCATTGTTTATAGTCCATCATAAAATGAGAACATTTTTAGACACTTGCTTGAAAGTACTCTAAGTTTAAGGAACGGCTTAAGTGAAACATTTTTTTAATTTGAATACACGCTCGACGTACAAAATGGGAATGCTACAAGAACAACTGCGAACCTCCGCAGAGGTCTGCATTACCGCTCCTCAATCATGAATAAACAGGTGACGCGCGCAACCAGATTATATACCACCGAACTGTAGCTCGGATTCATTTATAGTGTATGGCGCGTCATTTTCAAAAATATCTATCCATAGCATTATTTTACTTATTTGAGGGATAGATTATGTTGTACTTTCCTTAAAATTGTGCCCACATGTGTAAATTTTATGCAATTGTTGAACACATGTAAAATGCTTTTCTCGTTTATTCCTTTACAATGCTCCATACAAATCAGAATTTATAAACAATGATACAATTAAAAAGACACTATATCTTTCATGTTTGATATTGACTCGTACAGTTATAATTTATGTTGTATACAATACTAATTGGAGAATTTTCAAAAAAAATTTTAAAAAAGTGAATACGCCCGAACAGGGACTCGAACCCTGGACCCTTAGATTAAAAGTCTAATGCTCTACCGACTGAGCTATTCAGGCAAGTTGAAGTTTCATGACCTCTATATTCTAGTGCTTTTCTCTACTTTGTATTTATATAAAAATTATTTTAAACGTTATTTTAATGTAACTTTATACAGTATGTTTAGCACGATTTTTTATTTGTCATGTTTAAATACAGAAATTATGTGTGATCTGTTAAATAATATATTTTACGTGCATTGAAAATTCAGTATTTATACTAAATGACATCTATTGACAATGAACTCAGAGTGCAAGTTCAACTACATGCAAATATCTTGCATAAAATAATGAAAAAATCGGTTCAGCGTTCAAATTGATTACAACATCGACTAAATAAAATTATTGAATTATTATTAAAAATTAAACAGACGTTATCAATCAAAATCGATTGTTCCCTAACCTCATCTTTGCTACAGAATGTAATTATTTTCTTATTTACGATTAATTTACAATGCATTGAGACCGTACTGAAATAGTTTTTAATTTTAGTATCTAGATATTTTATGGAAAATGGACGTTGCTACTCCAACTCCTCAAGATCTACAGAGGAAATTATATTTCCTGGTAGAGCAACTTCAGCATATGGCTGGTGAACTTCCGCCTAAATATCAAATGAGGCTTCCATATGAACTACTATCTGGATTAGCCAACTCTCTATTAAATGATACGATATTTGAGATTGTTAAAGGCTTAATGGAAATTCAGCATGTTACAGAAAAGCATCTTTTCCAACAACGTCTTCAGTTACTAAATCAGCAGAAGATTGAAACGCAGGAGACAATAACGTCTACTTCCACAGATGAGGAGAGGATAGCAATAAAAACAGCATTGCATAAAAAACATAAAGACGAATTGAAGCAATTAGACATGAAGTTAGTTCTACAACTGGATCAAAAAGTAGCAGACCAGCAGAGCATTTTAGAAAAGGCTGGTGTACCTGGATTTTATGTTACAAACAATCCTATTGAAATTCAAGTACAAATGAGATTGTGTGATTTTATAATCAGACTTAGCAAAATGGAAGTTCCTAGTTGACACAATGATAATTGATGCCAATAATATACATACCTACCAGTATTTTTCAATAAACTTAAGCTGTAATGGTGTCATTATCGCTATTTATTTGCATTTAATAAAAATTGTACATTCAATTTATAATATAGCTTCCCATACAAATGATTATTTGTTTATAAATGATTTAAAACAATAGAAATTATAATGTTCTGTAGGATTTCTACAAATCAGAATGTTACCAGTAACACACTCGTAGAAAAAATATTTCTTATATTAGTCAGAAGACCTTTAATGTTAACTTTCATCAATTATATACATTGTCTCTATATTTATTTAGAAAACGGTACTGTACGGTGCAAAACACAAGATTTTCTGCGTAAAAACGATAAAACTTATATACAACTCTGCTACAGTTGACATTAATTCTGATCACTAAATTATTACACCATACATGAAGAAAATGAACATTACTATATTGTATTTACGGTATCAGTTTTGTTTTAAAAAAGCAGCTATTATTGTCTCTTTTCGACGATCGAAGTGACTAGCGACTTCTGACATTGTTGAGTTCGTTAATTCCTCGATACGTTAAGTAAAAAAACGTTTTATTAATGAAATCTTTATCAAAATTTGTCTTAAAAAGGTAGATCAGTCAAGTTGACTCGACGAAGTTTACAGTTATGTTTCACCGACGTACTATTTCGAAAATAGTACGTATTCAAAGTATGCTTTGTAGTCTAATGATTTCGAATGGATCTGCGTTTTAAGTACTTAGTTTTTACGCGTCACTTTTACTTAGAAGCGGGGCAGCTTGTGGAGTTGAGATATTAAGATTTATAGGTTCGTGACTACTAATAATCTTAGATTCGTGATCCTCCATGAAACATATACGATATACATCGGCAAAAGTGGAAGCGAAATGAATCTCGAGACCGTCTGTGATGTATTTAGGCAAGTCGTTGTAGTCTTTCTTATTTTCGTCGGGTAGGATCACGCAATTTACACCAACTCGTTTTGCCTGTAAAAATATAGAATAACTTCATGATTAATGTCATTAACAATAGACGAGATATTTGAAATGCTAGAGTTAGTGGAACAACTGTGTGATGTATGAAATACTAATTGAAACTTAAATACTTACGGCAATTGTTTTCTCTTTGATACCACCAACGGGAAGAACCCTGCCCATGAGACTAAGTTCTCCAGTCATCGCGACATTTTGCCTGATCGCTTTATTCTTAGCAAGCGATATTAATGCTATCGCGATAGTTACACCAGCACTGGGACCATCCTTCGGTGTGGCACCTTCAGGTACGTGCAGATGTAAATGTGAATCGTAGAGGAAATTGTTATCAGGGTCTTCTTTGCTCAAGAATTTCCTTGCCACTGTCATGGCTATCTGAATGGACTCCTTCATCACATCACCCAAGTGTCCAGTAACTTCAAAACTACCTTCAGATTTCTTTGTGATAGGTTTTCTAATTGTTGTTTCAATAAACAAAGTGGAGCCCCCCATGGCTGTCCATGCAAGGCCCATAACAACTCCGGGAGGTGTTATGTCGTACATTCTATCGTGAGTGAACACAGGTTTTCCTACAAATTCGTGTAAATTCTCTGCGGTGACGTTAACTTTTTCTGCTTCTTTCTTAACAACCTTAAATGCCACCTTCCGGTGGACTTTCTCTATGTGCTTTTGCAAATTTCGAACTCCTGATTCTCGACAATAAAATTTGATTAGTAAATTAAGCGCACTGTCGTCCATGTTAATTTGAAGATTAGAAAGGCCGGAATCGTTCATGGCTTGCGGTACTAAGTACTGTTTAGCGATTGCGACTTTTTCTTCTGCAACGTAGCCTGACATATCTATCATTTCCATACGGTCTCTAAGAGGCTCTGGAATCGTATCGATCACGTTCGCTGTACAAATAAAAAGAACTTTCGAGAGATCAACGGACACATCTAAATAGTGATCTAGGAAGTTCGCATTTTGCTCTGGGTCCAGCATTTCTAGGAGGGCGGACGCTGGGTCGCCTTGATGGCCTCTATAATACAACATTATATTTTGTAGCAATTTATGTTAATATCTTTATAGACATCATTTTATTTATTAAGAAAATAGCTTACTTTCCTATTTTATCAACCTCGTCTATAAGAACCAGTGGATTTTCAGTTTTCGTTTTCTTCAAGCATTGAATAATTTTGCCAGGCATTGCTCCAACGTATGTTCGCCTATGTCCCTTGATTTCTGCAACGTCTGTCATACCACCGACACTAAATCTGAAATATTCTCTATTAAGCGCGTGAGAAATCGATTTTGCTATTGACGTTTTTCCGACACCCGGTGGCCCATGGAAGCATAATATTTTTCCTTGTGTTGAACCTTTTAATTGACTAACAGCAATGAATTCTAAATTTAAGGAAAGAAAACGAAAGTAAATAAAAGGCATTATCAAAAAAATGTGGATAATTTGAATATTTAGTTACCTAAAATTCGTTTTTTTATGTCTTCCATTCCATAGTGATCTTTATCCAATATCTCGATCGCCTGTTGAAGATCTAAATTTTCTGAGCTTGTTACACCCCACGGTAAAGATGTGAGCCAATCCAAATAATTCCTTGTAACACTGAAAATAAAGTGATACTGCTATACAGATCACGTTTCATTACTTAAATTATGTAGGAATCATTCATTGTTATTTGTAAAAAATGAATATACTTGAATTCACTACTATGACTCTCTAAGAAATTCAATTTATTTAATTCTTCTTCAAGCACATCCATTACTGGTTTCGGAACCGTTTTCGATCTTATTCGTTCTCTATATTTTTCTGCTATCGCATCTTTGTCGTCCTTTTCTAATCCTAATTCTTTCTTTATGACTTTCAATTGTTCGTGGAGAATATACTTTCTATGTTGTTGTTTGACTTTTTCTTCTACTTCTCTACCAATTTTTTGTTGTAATTTACTTAATTCGTATTCTTTCTTTAGCAGCGCAAGCGATAGTCTTAGTCTCTTCGAAATCTACAAATAACATTAAGTTTACAATTGTGATCAATTTATATATTGACATCATCAAGATTCAATTTCACTCACATCCATTTCTTCCAACACCTGTTGCAGTTCCTGTGCATCTGCACCAGTTAGAGCTGCACCCAAATCACTCAAATAAACTGGATTATCTACAACCCTCTGACCTTGATGCAACATTTGTTGCAGAGACTCACGATATAATGGATTCATACTGATTATATCCCGAATTGTTTTGATTAATTCTTGTGTTAAAGCCTACATAATAAACATTGAATTAGTGACATTACTAATAGTTATTCAACGAGTATGCTGTTAATGGTTACCTTAATCTCTTCAGTCTGTCTAAATTTCTCGTGTGTAACATTTACTACTTCTACCATCAACAATGGCTGAGTACTGGCAATATGTGGCTGATTACTATCAGATTCTACTGGCTCAGTTTTTTCCTCTGTACTTTCTGTTGATTTTTCCGAAGCTACACTTTCGGATACGTTATTTGCTTCTTCAATCTTTTTAGTTTTCTCTGCTTCTACTATCTTATTTTCAGATTTCTTGCGCATTAATGATCTACGACTTGGTTTACTAGTAGTTACTGTATCGTCTACAGGGACGTGAATTGTTGTATTTAGTAGTGGAAACGTCAGTTTCATCTCTGTGTATCAGGCAGTATAGTACATTTATATAGAAAATATTTGAATAATTACAAAAGAAAATACTTTATGCAATGTACAATAATACAATATCTTAATCAGGCTATGCAGAGTGGTAGTGTAACATACAATCCTAAGTGCTCTCAACGTTATAGAACAGAATAAAAGTAAAAATATAAATATATAAGTATATCTCATTGAAATATGCTTCCATTACTTACCATGTATGGATTTTGGAGATATTTCTTCCAGAATCTGACCAACAATTTTAATTCTTCTGTGTGCCATCACAACTAATCTTAATCGATTTCCTAAATCTTGTACTTCATGTATTTGTGCAAATGTGCCAACAGGGTAAATATCGTTCAAATTTTGTACAACATCTGCTTCATTTCTAACAAAACAATTATATTCAGAGATAAGTGTACATAAATTTTAATATTTACAGACACCAGGATCCTTGTTTAACTTACTCCTCTGACTTCTTTAAGAAAATGCCAATATAAGGTTGATTCAATTTAACTTTTCTACGAATTAGGTCCATGAGAATTGGATTACTAAGCTCGATAAGCTTTATAAATCTGGGGAACACAGGATTCCTATTAATTGCTATGACAGGCACATGGGGCCATACCTCTGGCACAACAACAGTTGCTGGTAATGAAGCTGGATCGTCACCTTGATCTCCATTAGATTCACTGAGAAATAAAAATATTTATTTACTCGGGTAATTCATGAATTAACAGTTCTAATCTGTACACATTGCAGGAAGTTGGAGAAGAGATTGAACTTACTTAGGCAGTTCCCTGTCATTGTATTTTTTGGTAGCAAACGATCTTATTGAAATAATAGCTGCGGAATGACGATAGTTACGCGTATTTCTGACGAATGATCCTAGATATTCGGCAAGGCCTGTCCTTCGGAATTGCGTAGGTCGTATATGAGCCGACAATTCTTGTACGTCCGAGTGACGATTTCTGCAGAATGATCGAATAACCGTCAAGCGGTACCGAAAGACAGGCAGTATCTTGAAATTAACGGTTGTCGTAAAACGCATCGTTCCAAAATATTTGCTAACGATTCACATTAAATAGATATTCGTTCGTTCGATCTATGTATGTACTACTTAGAATTCATGCGAGGTTAGAATCTCAGATCCGGCACTCGTGCACTTGAGCAAACTGATTGAAACTGATGAAACCTTGCTAACCTAGAGGAAATTGTTTTCGAAGCTTAATTTGCTGCTCGCGAGCATATTGTAAGAGAAAATCGAGATCATCGATTCGGTTTACGATCTCGACACAAATTCATATTTTTTCTTTCTCGTTTTACCTTGCAAAATTTTAATAAGATACCGGTGCACATAAAAAAGAATGTTGATATTCGTTTGTTGTAATAACACAATCAACGACGCATGCTTCCTGCTCTATTTATATACCCGTGACAGAGCAAAATATTTAAAAACTATTCTTGAGTTTAGATATACGGTATATTAATTAAATATTAATATGTACGACAGAATGAAAAGTCGAATATCTTTTAGGAATATTCTATCTTACATAGTAACTTGGATATCTTAAGATCATTTCTAGTAAAAGTTTTTAATAAAGTTGGTGTATGCAACGATTTCGATCATCATAGTATGTTTATACATGATAATTTCTAATTTTATTTCGAGTTCTTATAATTTAACAAATTGTGAGGGCTGCATTGCTTAGCTGTAAAGCATCAACCAATTAGAAGAGAAGCAGTTTCTCTACCTGCTTCATAATTCTAAGCCGGTTGCCCCCGCCTTGGTTTACTATGGTGAGGCACTACTATACTAATAGGTGCTGTCTCTGCTGACTCCAAACGGAACTTCTTAGTTTCGTCACAAGAGGAGCCACTATTAGTCTAGCAGCAATTGATTCATGCCGGATTACAGTACATATACATATATTATGAAGAAAGCGGCAAGAATCAACTGTTCTAAAATCAATGAATGGACCAAAGATCATCCCCGCAGACTTTTATTATTTCATAACTTTTTAATAATAGAAATCAGTTTAAGTATAAGCATTAATCCATTCGAATATTAAAACTAATGTATTATATCAGATTATCACTGATAATTTCACTACCCAACAGAAGTAATTGGATAAATAAATCATTGAACAGTGATAAACATAACCACAATGTCTGTTTCTCGCGTCGAAGAACTAATCAATTACTTTAAATCCCACAACAAAATCAGGGAACAACAAAGTCATTCTGCAAAAGTGCACAGTGTAGGATGGAGTTGTGATGGAAAACTTTTGGCTTCGGGTTCGTTTGATAAATCTGTATGCATCTTTTCCCTAGGACCGGATCGTTTGGTAAATAAACACAACATCTTTAACTGGCTTGTATTCACTATTTCTATTTTGTTTTTCTCAATTTTAGTGTGATATTTCATCATTTGAGATTCTTATACGCTTATCCATTAGTATACTTGATAATATTTATTCATTTTACAGACAGTTTTAGGGTTATGATTCAAATAAATATGTTGCAGAAACAAGAGACAACATTCAGGGGTCACGGTGGTAGCGTGGATCAGCTTTGCTGGCACGCATTTTATCCAGAATTGTTGTCCACTGCAAGTGGAGACAAAACTGTGCGGATATGGGATACAAGAACACAAAAGTGCACTGCAAATATCAGCACACGAGGAGAAAATATCAACATATCATGGTCTCCTGATGGCAATACAATAGCAGTGGGGAATAAAGAAGATCTGGTTACTTTCATCGATGCACGAGTGATGAGAATTCGTGCAGAAGAACAATTCAATTTTGAAGTAAATGAAATTTCATGGAACAAAGACTCTGATACATTTTACCTCACAAACGGGCAAGGCTGTGTACATATTCTTAGTTATCCAGATTTGGAGTTGTTACATGTAATCAAAGCGCATCCAGGGACTTGCATTTGTATAGAATTTGATCCCACTGGAAGATATTTTGCTACCGGTTCAGCCGATGCATTAGTTTCATTGTGGGATGCAGATGAATTATGCTGTTTAAGGACATTCTCAAGATTAGAATGGCCAGTTAGAACTATATCATTCTCTTACGATGGACAGTTGTTAGCAGCTGCATCTGAGGATCTTGTTATAGACATAGGTGAAGTTGAAACTNAAATATTTAAAAACTATTCTTGAGTTTAGATATACGGTATATTAATTAAATATTAATATGTACGACAGAATGAAAAGTCGAATATCTTTTAGGAATATTCTATCTTACATAGTAACTTGGATATCTTAAGATCATTTCTAGTAAAAGTTTTTAATAAAGTTGGTGTATGCAACGATTTCGATCATCATAGTATGTTTATACATGATAATTTCTAATTTTATTTCGAGTTCTTATAATTTAACAAATTGTGAGGGCTGCATTGCTTAGCTGTAAAGCATCAACCAATTAGAAGAGAAGCAGTTTCTCTACCTGCTTCATAATTCTAAGCCGGTTGCCCCCGCCTTGGTTTACTATGGTGAGGCACTACTATACTAATAGGTGCTGTCTCTGCTGACTCCAAACGGAACTTCTTAGTTTCGTCACAAGAGGAGCCACTATTAGTCTAGCAGCAATTGATTCATGCCGGATTACAGTACATATACATATATTATGAAGAAAGCGGCAAGAATCAACTGTTCTAAAATCAATGAATGGACCAAAGATCATCCCCGCAGACTTTTATTATTTCATAACTTTTTAATAATAGAAATCAGTTTAAGTATAAGCATTAATCCATTCGAATATTAAAACTAATGTATTATATCAGATTATCACTGATAATTTCACTACCCAACAGAAGTAATTGGATAAATAAATCATTGAACAGTGATAAACATAACCACAATGTCTGTTTCTCGCGTCGAAGAACTAATCAATTACTTTAAATCCCACAACAAAATCAGGGAACAACAAAGTCATTCTGCAAAAGTGCACAGTGTAGGATGGAGTTGTGATGGAAAACTTTTGGCTTCGGGTTCGTTTGATAAATCTGTATGCATCTTTTCCCTAGGACCGGATCGTTTGGTAAATAAACACAACATCTTTAACTGGCTTGTATTCACTATTTCTATTTTGTTTTTCTCAATTTTAGTGTGATATTTCATCATTTGAGATTCTTATACGCTTATCCATTAGTATACTTGATAATATTTATTCATTTTACAGACAGTTTTAGGGTTATGATTCAAATAAATATGTTGCAGAAACAAGAGACAACATTCAGGGGTCACGGTGGTAGCGTGGATCAGCTTTGCTGGCACGCATTTTATCCAGAATTGTTGTCCACTGCAAGTGGAGACAAAACTGTGCGGATATGGGATACAAGAACACAAAAGTGCACTGCAAATATCAGCACACGAGGAGAAAATATCAACATATCATGGTCTCCTGATGGCAATACAATAGCAGTGGGGAATAAAGAAGATCTGGTTACTTTCATCGATGCACGAGTGATGAGAATTCGTGCAGAAGAACAATTCAATTTTGAAGTAAATGAAATTTCATGGAACAAAGACTCTGATACATTTTACCTCACAAACGGGCAAGGCTGTGTACATATTCTTAGTTATCCAGATTTGGAGTTGTTACATGTAATCAAAGCGCATCCAGGGACTTGCATTTGTATAGAATTTGATCCCACTGGAAGATATTTTGCTACCGGTTCAGCCGATGCATTAGTTTCATTGTGGGATGCAGATGAATTATGCTGTTTAAGGACATTCTCAAGATTAGAATGGCCAGTTAGAACTATATCATTCTCTTACGATGGACAGTTGTTAGCAGCTGCATCTGAGGATCTTGTTATAGACATAGGTGAAGTTGAAACTGGAGAGAAGATTGCAGATATACCCGTGGAAGCAGCAACTTTCACAGTTGCTTGGCATCCGAAACAATATTTATTAGCATATGCATGTGATGATAAAGACACTTATGATAGGAAGCGAGATGCTGGCAGTTTGAAAGTATATGGATTTGCCAATGATTAAATGATTATTAATTTTAGACATTTTTACTAATATATATTACTCTGTATAAAAGCTGATCTGTTTTAGATATTGAAGTCTCCTTGCTCTGAAAAATGGTTTGTTTACTACAATGTTTGCTGTAGTATCTTTTTTATTATCAATAATAAGTGAAGTAAATGAGACAACTTGTATGTAATATTTAAAAAATTACAATTTATATTGAAACATTCTATTGAATTGTATATTGCCTTTTATAGTTGTGCTTGCTACTCATATATTAATTAATAATGTTTACTTAATATATACATACTCCACTGTTGTGACACAGTTTTGCCATGGCAACCAGAAGAAGCATGTACACACAGCATTCATTACTTGATTTTTGTAACTTGGAAATATCTTAGAGTTAGCTTTGTACGAATATTAATTTTTCTTTTCATCTCTATTAGTGCAATTTATTACCTTGTTGCTCAAAAGTAATGGGAACCAATTGTGAGTGTCAATATACATTGATGGTGATGAATGAAATAGTGCAAGAGCAGTTCTCCCAGACAAAGGACAATTTCAATTATGTTCCTAGTATTCATGAAGTGGATGAAGAAGATACTGATGAAGAATATGTTTATGATCAAGATTTCACAACTGCAAACGAAGTTCAACAAGATGCAGACATAGCAGGAAATATGATAGATGATGTTTCGATATATAGTAACGAATCATTCTGCTCTGACGAATCATCCGATGAGACCAATATTACAACAAGAACTTTGAACGGATCTCATATACCTAAAGAAACTGAACATGAGTGTGAAAAGGACTGTAAAGAAAAATGTGAGAGCTCAATACAAGACAGAGAAATTGTAAATTCACGTTGTTGTAGAAGTTCAATGTCTGATGATAAATCTACTATATTGAAAGCAGTCAAATGTAGAAGGAAGAACATGAGTTTCACAGATGAAGAGCTTAGAAAAATTGAATGGGAGAATCAACTCCTTCTGAGTAAGATAATGGCCCAACAAAAACCCAAGGAGAAAATACTTCATGAAAATGTATCACAATCCAAAATTAGCAGTTCAGCAATCAATAGAAAGAAGTTACAGAGAAAAATCGAAAGTGAAAATATAGTAGGTGCCAGTAAAAAGAAGAAGTTAAGTAAAAGGTTGAAATTTATTATGCTAATGTTGTTTACGATTGTAGTTGCTGCTCCAACGACTACAACAAACTAAATCACGTGTTATGAACGCTACAACAAAATCTGGATGCAGGCAGACGATTTTGTAATTTGTAGCAAAGAATTTTTCTACATATTTTACATGAATAAGATTTTATACTTTGATGTGATAAGATTTCTATACTTTATACTAACGGAATATGGTTTTAATTACGATTGTGATATATTTTATTCTTTGTGCCACTGAATAGGATATTGCAATTAAATGACATGCTTTTTGGAAATATGTGAAAATTCATAGGAATATATATTTATAACAAAATTATTGGTTGTAAACGATCTCACTTCTTTAATAGCACATATGTAAAACGAATAATCGGACCTATGTAAAAATAAGACGCACGCGATTAAAACACAGCAATTACCAGTCTTGAAGTGTAGGTACACATTTTTATTTTGTTTTGTATACATCACAACTTTGTAAAATGTTTTGAAAACTTACCGAAGAAATTTCTACAAGTCAAGACTATAAAAATCACAGTTCTCACTCGTTCCAAGTAACTTAATTATTACTTCATTTTGTGTAACACCAAAGACCAACGTTCTCTGAGTATTGTGATCACCTTTTTCTTTATATACGTTTTGTGTAGAAAGTACGACAGAAACGAAGACGGTAGAACCGAGAGGCAAAAGTTCATGAACCAGATACCTTATTTCGCCTTCTGGATTAATCTGTGCTTCAATTGCTGCAAAAAAATCTCACTTCGAATTCAGGTATGCGTTTTTTTCCAGTGCATCGATCGAACTTGAAGTCCCGAGAAATAGAAAAAAAGAAACAAAAATATTAAATGTGCGATCCTTCATCAACAAAAAGAATTTCAATGTATCACATTTAAGCCTCAATTAATAACACAGATTAACAAGTCACAACGTGAAGATTTAACAAGTACAAAGTAATTTTGACCGAAACGAATTATTCGGTGTTATTATGCGAGGTACTATTCAACAAAATATCACAAATCCGCAAAAACCATTGAAGAATAACAAAAACCAGCCAGTAGTTTTTCGTTTTAAGCGTTGTCGATCACCAAAAGTGTCGCTAATAAATACGTTATTACTTCTCGTATTAGAAAAGAAAAAAGTCGTTCAACCAAGTCTACGATATCACAAGGTATAATATCGGGAATTTTGGGAACAAAATTAGTCTTCGTGCTTCTTTTTCCATGATTCGGTGGATGACGGTGTCCATATTGTACTAAGAGAACGAAACGGATCGAAACCAGACCTTTCCTGTAATCATAGTTCAATTAATTAATTACATTTCTTTGATAATAACAAAGTATATCGACAGTATAAACAGATTTTAAGTTTTCACTTGAATGTTTTTTCTTACCTGTGTATCCGGCTCTATCGGCAAAGAGGATAGTTGTGAATTCACAGGTGGGGTAGCTGCCCCCCATGGACCTGCAGCCCATACACCACCTGTATTCACACCCCAAACGCAACTTCTTTCCTCCCCCACTGCAGCCCTTGTGTATAACGGTTCCCAATTTGTTTTAACAGCCATCCAATTGTCTGCAAGTCCAATACAAATATGTTGGTTGCTGAATTGTGATATTAAATTTGTAAAGTTATGACATGTTTCTTACCTCTTAATGTGTCCGCCAGCATCGAAGGTGGCTTCTCAACGGATTTCGATGATTCCAATTGATACCCGCTCGTGTTATCTGATAATAAATTATATACAGGACTATTATCCTCCCATAACTGACATCGCGTATCTTCTTCTGGACTCTCCAGTTCCATTAAGGGTTCGTCTGTCTCTGGAAGATCATCGTACGGCACCAATTCTCGTTCAAACTGAAATTACAGTTAAATTCATAGTAAAAAATGAATTGCATAGCTATGATGTGGTTGCTCGTGATCTATCGAAAGAACGATACAATCTAAAGTAATTCAAATATTTTGTCATTTACCGGCGGTTCTGTGAAAGCATTCATGAAATAGCTATTCGAATGCAGTAACGTGTTCTGTATTTTCAGAGGATCCTGATTAAGTGGCTTCTCCTCAATAGATTGAACACAGAGGGGTGGGGAATTTGATAATATTCTGTATTCGTTCGTGCTTTGCATCAACTCTTGACTCGACTGTTGTTTAGTATAATCTATATCTTTGGTATCGTTGCTGAAGACTGTCGACAGTGTATGCGTGGTCGTTTGTGGTTTGTGTAACTTGTTCAAGCTCGAGAACGGAGAGATGCTCTCTGGACTCCTTGCTACAACGTCGCTAAATCTGGCTCGATTTTCGCCCCAGCAGGATGGGGGTGGAGGTAATGGAGCAGATACTGCACCTAATGTTCGCGACGAGTCTTCTCTTTGGCTAGTGCTTCCATTTAACGATGTTACTGCAAAAGAACATTTGAATATTAAGCTTCAATTACTTCTTCTAATTAGTGTTATATAGAAATAACATGGAGGATCGAATACCTTTTGCATGTGTTTTTTCCATTCCACGACGTTTCTGAGATCCTTTATCCTTTCTAGGAGGATTCTTGTTTTGTCGAGGTAGCTTGCATGATGACTCAACAGTGCGAGACGAGTGAATATGATGCTTTATAGTTGATCTTGTTGTACTCGTTTTCCACCTATTTGGATTATTATGCCTCTCTTTATCGTACTCGTCATCGTCGCAGTCCCCCTCATAATTATCCCTATAGTCCACACATGGCACAGGCGTAATCGATTGCGGTTTAGTTTTCTTGGTCACCGGCTTTCTTTGTAGCTTCTCAGACTTTCCGCACGGTTGATCAAAGTTCTACAACAGAGAAAACCTTAATAGAAACTTTTCCACGGTGAAGAAAGCTTTTAATAAAAATCAATTGCCGTACTTTGCACGGCGGTGGATCATCTTGAACAGAGCTCTCGGTCGTGGTAGAAGACGTCTCCTCTTCAGAAAGCTGAACACTCCTATGACTGTTATTCGACTCGAATTTCTTGAACGAAACGTGACTATTATTGCTATTCCCAACCGAGTTCTGCTTCCTTTTGCTATCCAGTTTACTGTTCCGGGTATTGCTCAGCAAACCCGTTGTGTCAACTTGAACCTCATGATCCACCAGTTTCGTTTCCTCCTTGATTATCTGATTAGCCTTCCCTTTCCTAGTAGTCACAGGACTCGACTTCATGTATGTGTTCATGCTATACTTTTTCTCTTGCGGTACCTGGATGTCCGGAAACACTGTCTCAGACAGACAATTGTCCGTCTGCACTTCTTGCACGTTGTTCTGTTTCCTATTGTTCCTTTTCTTAGCCCCGAGCGCAATATTGTTCATCACATTACTACTGTTATCTAAAGACAACTCGTCACAGCGTTTGAATGACAGCAAGTCCTTCGTTTCGGTGTCCAGTTTGAACCTGCGTTCTTCATCTGCGGACCAGTCCGGAATCTTCAGCCCTTTCTGCGTATTTTCCTTCTCTTTGTACTTCTTCACATTCATCAGCGCCCAATCTGGATACGTGTCCTCTTTCTTTGTTGTTTTCTGCTTCTCTTCGTTTATTAACTTCTCTTTTAAAGGTACAACTGGTGTCGAATGCACTGGTATGTGCGACAGTAATCTTAAATCAAAAGGAGGCTGCATTGGACTCTCTCTAGAGAAGCTAGCTAGAGCCCCTCTTAGCACTCGGTCCGCTTCAAGGAACGAAATAGCGAGGATACAGATTAATAAGATTGACGAGAGGCTCACAGCTGCCCATTGGACTCCATACTCCCACGAGGGTCTTGTTAATGCGGCTCTACAGTCTTCCAAAGAATACGGTGGAAGGGTCGCCAGTAAATTTAGGGTTACCATGCCATTCTCTATATCGTTGTCCGACCCTAAGCTTGTGGATATCACGAGCTTTCTCTCGATTCGCGACAATGTGAAGTCTGGAGTGAAAGCTATTTCTATCTTCTTGGTTGCGTTAGGGTTAAGGCTGAATGGCATGCAGTTTAGTACTTTGAATCCATAACCCTCGCAGCGGAGACCATTTATGAAAAAGTCGTATATTTCTATTGGAAGTTCTCCCGTGTTTCTGGCCATGAATGACCTTTTTACTGTTAGGTTGGGCACAGGATTCCTTTTAAATCGTTCTCCTGTGATTAAGAAGTAAAATATCAGTATAGGTTACCCTGATTGAGACTAAAATTTATTTAAATAATCTTTTTTTACAAATGATCGGAAATGTTTGGAAAACGGTGGTTAGTCATATTGTAGAGAATAAAACTTATTGATGTTGTGTGTTGCTTAAACAGTAGCGCCAAGGTAAAGAAACGTACATACGTTCGCAATCTTTTAGGTGTTTGTCGGCGAGTTCGAAAAGTAAGGGTGTAGTGGAACCTGGTTTTCGGTTTCCAAATCTGAATTGTGCATTTGCCCCTTGACCCATCACACGTAATACCTCCAAAATCGTCATGTTGTTCCTAAAAGAAAAATAATGTCTTTAAACAACAGAATTCGTAGTAATTGACTTAGCTAATTTGTCTTATATCTGTTATAATATTTGCTCTTCGATGGAAAATAACAAACAGTGTACCTAATGTATAAAAGAGCGGACGATAAAGTAGGAGAGAAGGGAGTGTATGACACTCGTATTGTTTTCGACTCCGAACGTTTCAAGTATAAAGGAATCGATCCAGGTGTTACCGAAACATCCCATTGTTTTTCAAACTGTTCTCTTTCCTCTACATTCTCCTCTAACTTAAACTCCTCCGCAACTGCAGACCCGCAATCTACGCACGCGAATTTAAATCTGAGAACAGACATAACATTAGATATTTTGTAAATCGACGGTCTTTACAAAAGATTGAAAGCTACATACTTGGCTGGTAACGAATGATACAGCCTCGTTCCTTGCGGATAATTCCAATCCATTACCAACTGTATAAACAAAGGACTGGCACCAGGATTATACACTTTAATTGATCTGTAAGACGTATTTCCAACTTGCGTTAATGGAAATACCACAACGACTTTATTCTTATTGTTACCGAAACCAGTCAATAGACTGGGCCAATACGGTTTAATGTTCAAGTAAAATTTGTGCCCGCGAACTTCGGTAGTGTCTAGACGCATTGTTATGTTCTCCCATGAACGACCGCCCGTCGAGTTAAGGAAACGCGTATATTTTGTGTTCAACAAATTCAAATCGGAGTCTCTTGTGTGCGATGGGAGAGCCAAAGTGTTTATCCACTGTTTGCCAGCTATAATAGAACGTTGTGTTATTAAACTATTGTAATATCATAAAAAGATTGCATTATTTTAATGCTTACCATTAGTGTCCAACGATAGACCTAAATAACAGTGATGTTTACAAGTCATTGACTGTTCGATCCTAACCGATCCAACATAACTTTCGCCTTTTGTTATAACTGGCATCGATGCCTCCTCCAAGGGAATATACTTTATTCTATTATCCTTGTAAACAGGTGCAAGTCGAGTCACCTGCATGGGTCTTACGAACGTCGAATACACCTTTACTTGTTGTACACAAATCGATCCCTGTATAGAAATACAATTTTACAAACTATTGAGAATTTGTTCATCTTAAAAGATATTTTGATCACTCACAGGGAAACAATCAGTAAAAATAAGTTTCTTCAACGAAAGTCTCCCGTATGCCACTCGCATGTAAACCGGTAAAATAAATCTTTCATAGGTGGTCCTAACAAAAACATCGCCCACAATGGTGTCCTCTTCGACCATTGGAGTTTTCACTTTAATCTTGAAGATCGCTAAGTAACCAGGCTTTATGTATTGCTGTAATTGTGTGAGGAATACTTCTCAATATATAGTTTTTTAAAATACTAAATTTAGATCAAAATATAATGTGATGTTCGTACATTGCCAGTATGACTGCACACAGTTATATTGCGAAGTTCTTTGTCCAGAAAATCGGCTGGGCCCCTATGGCATCCCATGAGCTCCAACACTGCTCCAGGCATATTCACACCCCATCCGTGCAGGTCTATATTAATAGGATTTTGATTTTCCAGAGCAAAAATAGCTTCGCTTTCAGTCCCGCTGCTGACTGTACCAAAATTCATCGTGCCTTCATCGGTTTCCCTTTCTTCTGGAATAATTTTCCTCACTTTTCCATCGTAACTGAGCAATGGAACTTCTGTCACGGATACATTTGAATGAATCAAAATCGACGACTCCATTTTCACATTATCTGTTTTCCTATCTTTGGCAAGTTGTAATGAAAAAATATTAACCTTCTGTTCTGGCTTTATCACCCTTGGAATAAAATTTTTTATCTAAAAAAATTCATGGAAAATAGATTATTTATGTGACAATTTTTCTGAAAGTAAGTGATTTTAGGAGTTTTAGTAATGCTTACCGTGAACAGTGACTTCACATGCGTTGACATTGTGACATTCGTGATAGCTAACGGTAATTTAAATTTATTAACGACGCTAAAATTTCGCGCCTGATTGGATTGAAGAGAGCAATAATGCGTAATTGATGCGTTTACTTCTAGACCACCCTGTAGAACTTGTGCTATCCATGGTATCGTTAGTTTCTGATTAGAACCGCCAGGACCTATTGCTTTAATTACTAGTTTTCCTTTAAAATGTTGTAGCTCTAAACCAGTCTTCCCTAAAAGACAAATATATACCCATAAACATTGTGTGAAAATAACTTGAAACCTACCACATGTGACGTTAAGCCACGTACAGTCATAAATTAGTGCTCCAATCGCAATAGGTATGTCGGTGTCTCCTGGAATTATCGCTTGCTCAAAGTGAAGTTTCAACGCTTTGGACACCGGCGTGCTAATTATATTCTGTGATAAAAATAGTATACCAGTTAGAACGATAATATAAAGATAAACAATTGTAAAATATGAAAAATGTTTACCATAATTTTAATTGGTTTCTTTGCTGAATTCTTCAAAGCAATGGGGTATTGAATGGGCGGCTGTAACGAACCACCCATACCTAAATTGATTACACCAGAGCTTCCACCCCAATGAAGACCAGACCCACTTTTTACTTCGACTTCGACTGTTACAACAAGCACTTCCGAAGTATTGTTTACTTTAAGCCTGTAATTCAAATAGTCAAAAAATAGATGTCCATTTTATCTGAAGAATAGTACAAACAATTTTGTTCAAACATAGAGGACAATGCAAAACTACAGACCTAATATACGTGGTATGATTTTTCTCTGTGTAAGCATTAAAATGTAGTCTTATGATAGGCTTTGTTTGATATGGTGGAATTTCCCATAGCTCACGCGAACCTTCCGCTTCTCCTGATGGTAATTCTAGCTGAAATTCTCCACCGCTACTATATACTTCTAGAACCTTTAAAAATAAAATGAAATACAATTTAAAGATAAGCAAACAAAATAATGAAATAACTGTATTTTAGTAGGGAATATATATGTATATACTTGTAAAGCTTCTGCATGTGGATTGTGCATATATATAAGTGGAGTAAATGTTGCATTTAAAGGTAATTTAACGCCCACTACAGGTCTCAGTCGATAAGGACTACTGACACTTATTCCTTTTACCTGAAACAGTAGATTTTAATATTAGCAAAAGAAACAATCATTGAAGTTATGGAATTAAAGGTGTCTTGAATTAGTTACTTGGTATTTTACAGTTCCATCCGTAGTATGTATAAAAAGATGCGTATCAATGTCGCCTTCTTCTCGACCGAGAAAAACAACATCAAATGTTGTGTTCCCAAGTGGTGGTATTACCTATGCAAATTAAATTATAATAATTATTTGTACTCTTAACATCTCATCATATTCTGCTTTTTAGATTAAATTATTTTGTTTGTACATACATAAATCGCACAAACTATATGATAGTTACATTTTTATTTTTTTGTATTACGGCATAAAGATTTTCAAATCTCTGATCAAATTAACTTGAAGAATTTTATTTTGTATATCAAGTAAGACTTACTTTACTTCGAAAGAACGATGAATGGAAATGTCGTGTATTTCCAGAAATCGATAAAAGATGGATCGTTTTGTTGTGATCTTTATTAAACAAGACCACAGTTTCTTGGTGGGGTATACCAAGTTGTCTATGAAAAAAAAATCCATTGTATGAAGATCTATTTGCAATAGTATAATTACTACTAACAGTCTGCTCACCTTTCTTTGAAGTCCAGAACATGTGGTTGGAAATAAACATGAGACAATGCATCTTGTGCTTTGTCTTCATCAGATGGGGCATCCCTTAAAAGATAGTTAAAAAATTTGAATAAATATGATAGGAATCATTACATGTACTTCTAATAGTGGAAATTGAAAATAGGAAAGGTACAAGAAAAATTAGTATAAGTGACCACAGTTAGTAAAGCAGTGTTTAGAATTCTAAAGCATTGTTCAGATATTGTACTATGATGAGATGATTATATATATAAATGATTAAATTACTGATGCAAATAATAAAGTTTCGTGAACGATTGTTTTATAAGATATTATTATTGTTTTTATTATTAAATTTACAAAAAGAAAAATAATTCTTGAGTTATATTTATTTTTAGTTTTATAAAAAATTGTTTTTATGTATCTGCACATAATCAAATCATCATCATGAGACTACAATAGTATGTATATATGTTTCAAGAGTAAGGAAGGAAATTTGTAATGAAAACCTTTCCTACTTCCACTCACCATTATTTTAATGAGTATTATGCTTACCCAGCCCCATGCACTGTATTGGTAAACTCCTAGAAAATAAATTACTCAATAAAATCATTACTAAATAAGTTTATTTAAATACAAGAAAGGTAATATAACTGACCTTATGCACAGACATAGGTATGTTGTCCAATAGGTATTGAACATCATTGTCATCTTGTACGAATGCTGAAAGGAAGAACATAATTTTCAATTAATTTATTGATAATAATATTGGGTTAGTGTAAAAAACAACTGTGGTTCTTAAGTAAAACAGCAAAGTCATTTTTTATAAGACTAATCTATCTAATCTAATCTATCTTTTGCAATATATCAGGCAATGGAAAAGTTTGTGCTAAATTCAAATATAACTTTTATTTATTAAGGCATCAGAATTTTCTAGGAACATTTCTTCATTTAACAAAGTAATTTTATGTGAATGACAGCAGAATTTCTGTTGGAGTTTATCATTGACAGAAAAATTGTCCAAACTTTCTTAAATATCCAATAAACATACAGTGGATAACATTAAGATGTTACATTACACAATGTTGTCACAGAAGTTGCAGATTTCTGTCAGCACAACTAAATGAATACAATCCAACCATATAGAACTATTTAATGGGTAGTTAAGAGAATTAGGAAAAGAAAGTTATGATTCCCTGTATAAATGAAAATGTCTTTATGCGCTAATGACATAGAAAATTGTTGTCACTGTACACAAAAACATCAATATTTTTTTGCCTTGTAGACGTTTAATAGCCACATAAAATGACAATTTCTTGACCTTTGGAAAATGAGAAACGAAACGTCGAAGCGGAAAAATCCTGATGCACATTAAAAACATCAGACTTTGCGTAAACTAACAATGCACTCGCATCGTTTCGACTGTGTATCGCTGCAGTGGAAGCAAAGAACGTTAAAATAGCGTAAATACGCTCTTACCATTATTGTGTCCATGTAAGGACGGTCGAATTTGTGACGTCAGTTCGAAAAACGTTAACAAGAGGAGGAAATAAAGTACTTTTAACTCGGTCATAATAATCGTTTTCACTGTGTTGTTTGCTGTTTTGTCTTTAGCAGAAATGAAAATCCGCTTTCGGCCATACTTTCGCCACTATCGAATTCTGGAGTATCGATTCTACTTCCGTCCGATTTGAAACCTTTCCACGAGCGAATTTTGTTGTGCGACCAATCTGACGGAGACAGATTATGTCCGCTTCTCGCATCTTTTATTATTATATCGATACACCGTTGATATTCGATGCTCGTCCATTAAATTCGTAGGTCTCTCGTACAGATCGTTTCCTCTTCGAATCGTTGTTCTCTCAATGGACAACTTTCGACGCTTCTGCGTCTATTTTCGTTGAATCAAATTCTTTTAAACTGGCCAAACGATCACTTTGCGACTGAGATTGATTCTCATTACAAAGTGTCCGTTGCTACTTTCATCCTTTCTATATATAAATTATAGTGTACTTTGTAATCACGGAGTTTGTAATGTGTAATGCGTGTATCGATTATGCAGCGTGCAATTAACAATGTTGCAAAATTTAAAAAAATGTTCATTTTGCATTCTATGTACACCTTTGTATTGAAGTTGATAGTTAATGTGTATAGAATTGTTTATGGCAAGTGTATTATTAATTTATTATAGTTCAATTTTATGTAGTTTATCCAATCCTATTGCGTTATCATGGAAAATGTCTGCACTTCATTATTTGTCTTAGTTTCATTATCTATATCAAATTCATAGTTCTTGCTTTATATGATCAATCGGAGGGCAGTAATCAGGGGGCTCGACTCTTAGTAAGTTTTTGGGGCACTGTTTTGACTGCCATCTGAACTAGCTACAAACTTCGACGAACTAAAATTCAATATGGCGGTTTAAAAGCGGTAATTCAAATTTTTGATTCTAGAACCAAAATATTAAGTACATTTTTTTTAAATAGTTATGTACACCATCGTACAAACTAAAGAAAGCAAAATAATGGTATATATATAACCTAATTTCGAAAAAATGTACTTAATACACTATAACACAGGGGAAAGGAAAATGATCAAAGTTAAAAATTAATATAGGAAACAAATTTTTTATTTTCCATTTTATAGTGGTATACAGCAAAAAATCCATTTCTAATGAAGTATATACGTACACGTGTTTATTAAATTGATTTATCCACTCCGACGTCCTCGCTGCTCATGACTTCAATGTCCATGCTGCTATGTTATCGATGATAGAACGGATCAATGTAAAAGAATATTATAGATATAAGAGATTATGGAAAATAAAAATAATATGGCTTACTGCTTATGTCCAATATAGCTGCAAACTGCAGTTCGCTGGTTCGCTTGCGATCAGCTTGGCTTCGCTCATAATGGCGGGAATGCGTCTGCATATGTATGTATTCTGTCTCCGATTCTGTTAGATCGAATTCAGGCGATGATTTGACTAGTATCGAATTGCAAATCAATTCCTCCAACTGTGGTATATCTAGTAACCGATCTATGATGCATCGTTCTCGTATTAAACTTCTTCGTTTTTTGTCAACTGTCTGATCTACAGCTTTCAATCATTCGTCCACTGTCTGTGCGAAGGAATCTGTAAACAATCAAAATTTCATCGATTAGATGCTGACGATCATTTGTAAATATTAACGTACGCTCAAATGCTTATATGATTGCCTGAGAGATATCAAATGGTTCATTCATGGATGTATGCACGTATTTCATTAAGGCTATTTCTAAACCAGGCGCGGACAGATGGGGTGGTTGTACCAAGGGTAGGAGAATAGTGGGATCACTTTGCCGTTGGAGCATGGCGTAATAGTAAGCCGTACGATCACGAACCTCGTCGTCAGTGTCTAACTGACAACGTGACAATAAGACTCACACGTTTGGTAACAATGGAGGACACTGCAGCGCTCTCCAGGAACACGCGATTATAAATGAAACGGATGTATCTGGATGGCTGCTTGGAAGTTGGCCCTTCTTGCCCAAGCAAATGCAAAATGTGAACAGCGAGGGAAATATGTTCGCAGTCTTCGATGAACTCGCAAAGATGTGCTAGACCTGCTTTTAAAACGTGAAGAAAGAATGTGGCTGGCTGGCAAATTGGAAGAAAAAGTGGAAACATACAATTCCTTGGTAAGCTTGACAATTGTGCACAATACATTTCTCATATAGACGTATTATTGTATCCGTAATTCTTGGATTTCTGAAAAGTATGTGAAAATTCTAAAACGGATTTCGCTTCTGACAGATTCGATTAAGGTTATGTCAAGGTTATGTACGCATTCAAAGAATGCAAGCAAATATTCTTTTCAACACAATTTTGTTTATTACTTTATTATTTTTATTTATGTTTATTATATTTATTATTTATTTATAGTGGGTATTATATAGTAGAATTTATTATTTATTATTTATTGTTTATTATTTATTGTCCATTGTTTATTGTCTATTATTTATTATTTGTTATTTGTTATTTATTATTTGTTATAATAAGTAGTCTTTTCAACAGTTATCTCACACACATTTTTACCCTTTGACCACTTTCACAATTGCACTATCGACGGTGTTTATAATAATTCTGCGCCTTGTTCAACAAATATACAGTAAAAGCTTTAGGAGAATTTAAAAATACTATTTTTATTATTTGCAACTTACGCGGACAATTTTCATTTTGCACAATGATCCATAAAAAGAGGTTTTGGGGATTTTTTAAAAAATATCACATCAATTATTGTTAATTCTTCCTTTCCTTAAAGTCCCATTTGTGATCAGTGAGAGTGAGATACTGTTTTTCGAGAAAGTTTTAGTTATTTTAAAAGTATTCTATTTTTGTTCATTTGAAGCATGATTGACAAAACGAAATTACAGAAATATTATGTGCGTGCTAAAAGATCTTTGCCTTTATCGTACGATACTTTTGTGCAGGAAGTTTCTGCTTTATCATATTATCAATGAAAACAATCTAGCTTGAATAACTAATTTTCATATATGACAATTTTTTTTTCATACGTTTTCAACATGATAAACGCATAAAAAATTTTTCATGCGATTTTATACTGTAATGGATTTGTTGATAATAGGATGTTTTTCTACTATAAACAATATCAAAAAGTTGACGATGACCTTCACGTCAATACATCCATTTTGCAAAATATTCCAGGTAATATATGATCGATTTTTTTCCATTTGATCACGTGCGCTTGAATTGCACAATAGCTTGATGTGTATGTTAATTACACAATAAAGGTGTACACAAAACAAATGCAAGCGTTTCTTAAAAAAACAGTCTTTTTTTCCTTTTTTACAGATGAAATATGTACAGATTTAATGTGTGTCACGTAATAAAGTAACATGACGAAATACATTCGTTTTAATGTTGGATTGATTATAAGATACAGCGGGTCATACAACAAAACATCTCCCTATGTACGCATACGTAATTAAATAATGAAGATCTTAACGGACTCAGTTAAAATATAGTTTTATAATTAAATATAGAAATAGAAACTGCTAATAATAGCTCCGTGTTTTTTTGTTAATGTAATCTTATTCTTATAATACTAAAAATATCGAAATGATGATGAGTGATGACATAGATTATCGTTATATGCATATATGTAGACTCGCTGACTCCGAAGTATGATGAAACACTTAGGTTTCGAATTATTCTACAGAAGAAATGATTAATTCTGCAACGTCCGGATCTGAACATAGAACCGTTAATTGCATTGTCACTTGAGTGCCGGATAATGCTAATCTTGCACGTGCAAGAATTTCTTTATCACCTCTGAAATAACCACCCAATAACAGATTATGCGTAGTGGCGCCCGATTGAATTTGATTCGTTCGATCTACCTGATCCAGGCCCAAAAATTCAGTCAGAATTTGAACGGCTCTCCCCAAGCTAGATGCAGATGCTAAAACAAACGTTTCCTCCAATTTGGTGTATCCCTGTGCAGTGCCTGCTGCCCATGCAGTATTGAAATCTATACCCGGCTCTGACAATCCTCGAATTTGATCAGCTAGTGGCAACTCTACGATGTCCAACTAGAAACAAGCGAATACGCTCAAATATTGACTATTTGTTTTTTCTTTTCTAGTAGAAAGAGTAGAATGGCACACCATATACTCGTCCTTATATGGTGGAAGTCCCCCTCTGATAGGATGAAAGTCATAAGCCGTAAATCGCAGAGATGCGGGAAGTGTTGTGATGCTAGTTTGAAGATCTTTTGGATATTTTAATACTGTGTACGTTGCTTCTGGTTCATAATAACGTAGAGTTGGACACGGAATTTCGCAGACAACCGTATAACTAAAATCAATAGAATATTGTCACATCGAAAATGTTTTCTGTACTTTGTTATTCGAGTAAAGTATACAAAAATGTAATTACCCCTCATGAAGTAGCAAAAGATCTACCCTTACATCTTCTAAACACTGATGGGGAAGCGTATTTATACAAATGAATTCTAAAACAACAAGATCCGAAAATGTATGCTTGAAGCACTTTACTTGGTATTCTGTCTCCGATTCTGTTAGATCGAATTCAGGCGATGATTTGACTAGTATCGAATTGCATATTAACACCTCCAACTGTGGTATATCTAGTAACCGATCTATGACGCATCGTTCTCGTATTAAACTTCTTCGTTTTTTGTCAACTATCTGATCTACAGCTTTCAATAATTCGTCCACTGTCTGTGCCGAAGGAATCTGTAAACAATCAAAATTTCATCGATTAGATGCTGACGATCATTTGTAAATATTAACGTACGCTGAAATGCTTATATGATTACCTGAGAAATATCGAATGGTTCATTCATGGATGTATGCACGTATTTCATTAAGGCTATTTCTAAACCAGGCACGGACAGATGGGGAGGTTGTACCAAGTGTAGGAGAATAGTGGGATCACTTTGCTGTTGGAGTATGGCGCAATAGTAAGCCGCACGATCACGAACCTCGTCATCAGAGTCTAACTGACAACGTGACAATAAGACTAACACGTTTGGTAACAATGGAGGACACGCAGCAGCGAAACGTGCCAATGCGGTGACTGCAGCTGCTCGAACGCTGGCGCTCTCCAGGATCACGCGATTATAAATGAAACGGATGTATCTGGATGGCTGCTTGGAAGTTGGTCCTTCTTGCCCTAGCAAATGCAAAATGCGGACAGCAAGGGAAATATGTTCGCAGTCTTCGATGAACTCACAGAGATGTGCCAGACCTGCTTCCTTTGCCTCGGCGTTTGCTTCCATAACAGCAATTATTGTGTCCGCGATTGCTGCCTTGTATTCAAGGCCTCCCTCGTCTCTTAACATAGCAGACAGAAAATTCATAAGAACCACATGCTTGCGGGGGAACTTCTGATATAAAGCCCTACAAAAATTCAAATGAAGAATGAAATCGAATGAGATTCCTTATACCTCATCGAATTAAAGAGGAACGTGTTCATTGGTTACTAACCTTATGGCTTGAACAACTACGACCTTAAATTCATCCGAGATTTCGGATACGAAAGTAGCAATTTGTTTCATTAATCGATCTACCGAACTTTCTGCACCAGTTTTTAAAAGAGTGGTGATTGCTAGCGTAGCAATCGACCTGTTAGAATCTGTGATCAAATTTTCTAAGTCCAGGTTACAAGCTGTAACTTCCGCTGGGTGGAGCATTGTAACCTTATTCAGCGTTCTAACTGCTGCAAATCTTAAAGCTGGTTTAGGCGATCCGCAGAACAGTTGAAGAACACTAATGGCTGGAGCTATTTCCCTAGAAACGGCTCTGGTGAGGTTCACCAATCCATGCGCCGCCTCGTACACCACCATTTCCGATTTTTGTCGCAAACAGCATTCCAGGAAACTTACTAATTCTTCGCTTCCGTCCAGTATTTTACATGCCATTCTAATCAACATACAAGCAGCATAAGGACTCTTTGGACTGGTTCTCATAAGTTTTGCAACTAACTTAACTACCGCATGTTTATCAGATTTTCGAGCTTGATATAAAACACCTAGAGCATGATACTGAACCATTACATTGTTGGAGTTTAATGCTTCTTGGGCTTCGTTTGCCCATCTGCGTGCCACATCTTCAGATACATTGGTCAAATGTAATGAGGAAACCAAGGCTGCGCTAGAAACTACAGGGGAACGATCTACGATAGCTTGCTTCATATATCGTTCAATAGCTGCTAACATTCCAGCGTCCGTGATAGTACATAATGCTCTTATGGCTGCAGCTCTATACAAATCTTCTTTTCCAGTCATATCTTTTGTTAGACTAGAGGTCACTATGATCACATCTTCCACCAAAGAACTGAGTTCTTTGATACCTAGATACACCAAACGTCTTAGCATAACATCCTTGGATTGAAACAATTTGGTCATAGCAAAAAACGCTTCTGTGGCCTCCATTGTCCCTAACTGTTCTCCTTGATTCAACAGGTACAATAGTTTTGTAAGAATGTGCGCGCATTTTATTGGATTAACTGGTGTATTATTAAAGGTACGTGCTTCCTGGAGAACAGTTGTCTTCTCCAAATTTTGGAAAGGATTCCCTCCACCTAAAAAAAAAGATTACGTTAAGTAAAACATAATAAAATCGACCATCTGAATGTCACTCGGGTAAGAGATACAGATGGAAAGATTTCAGTGAAGGAATACTACTGTTTCTTCGAACTTTTACGAAAAAGACGTCTCAACCTGTTCGGTAGGAACTGTCACAAGGATGTGGCTGACCCATTTAGTTTCGATTACAACTTAAAATTGACATTAATAAGAGAGGTAAAGCACGTATGTTCATAGTTACCATCTTCCTCCTCCTTCTTATCCCGTTTAAATGTATTCATTTTACAAAACCACAGCCAAGAAACTGAAAAATAGGATAAACGTCAACTTAACTCTTTTATGTCGGAATGGTTGGAACCATTGCGCATCATTGTGTATATTGTGCATGAGATGAGAACACTGTTGTGTCTACGGTGGCGAGATATTGCAACTAAAAAGCCAGTATGTATATATATGTACTTTTGACTGCATTACAATTTTCTACATTACCTAACTTCGGTAACACGGTATTTAATTGAAAGTTATCCACTTACACCGTGAAGTTATTACAGAAGGATTATTACATAGTTAGAACGCTCCAAGCTCCAAACCTGAGACAGAAAAATACATAAGATGCAATGTCTGTCAGGTCTGTATAACAGCCGTCTTTTACACGGCTGTTCGCGTTTGATGGATAGCGACTATACGTGTAATTCAATGGGAGTGTTCATATGGCAATTCTCGCAAGTCCCATTTGAATCTAACTTCAAATATAGTGTATTGAACGTGAATCGCGACTCACAAATCGCCATGTAAAAGAGGTCTAAGCGTACAACTAGAATTGAGTTTAAATAAGGTAGAATTTTCTACATTTTATCACAGGTGGCACATTTGTTTGGCATAACCAGAATTAAATAAACCGCCATATTGAATTTTAGTCGAGTCCCCCTGATAGTACAACCACATTTCACCAAATGCGCATGCGGGTGGGCAGCCATTTGAATTTTAGTTCGTCAAAGTTTGCAGCTAACTCAGGTGGCAGTCAAAAATGTGCCACCAATTTTTCCTACAAAGTTGACGCCCTCTGGTAATAATGGGCTTGATTTAGATTTGACGGCAAATTTAAAATGTATGTTGAAAAAATCAATAATAATTAATTAACTGAATAATAATTAACTGATCAATATCAGTAATAAGGGGTAGTAAAATGAGAAAATTTTCCTTCATCTATTTGAGACAAAATTTTAAAATGTCTTTTGTATTTTTCTACAAAGCACATAATACACATACATATTTAAAGTATTTATCCCAGCCATATCTCACCTTAGTAAACAATTCTGTGTGTGCATCACCATAGTGAGCATTATTATCCCCACCATTTTAATGCGCATCAAGACCCGGGCAGTTGCTTCAGAAGGAGAACGGGAGATGATCGAGAGAGACAGACGAATCCAGCGGGCTCTATGTGTGTGTCTACACGGACGAGAAATCTAGGACGTCTCACTTTACCGTGCTTGCGGTTTCACTCTTTTCGCGCATCCATACATCTGGCGCTCCATCTGAAACACATGGCGGGATATTCGTCTTGTACTTTTCGCCCAGTAGGATTCTCGACCACATAGTCCAACATATTTACTAACGTCTTAAAACGGCGATCATTTTTACAATTATTAACATTTTCAAAGATCCGTAAGCTACATTTTAAATAATACTTTCTAGTTTTTCTATCCCCTTAGAAAGACTACACATTCATTGTTGACTACACAATTGAAGTTGAAGTTGAAAATAATGTTGACATAACCTTTACATAATCCTGACATAACGCTGACAAATTTGTCAGGGTTATGTCAAAGTTATGTCAGGATTATTTTCAACTTCAACTTCAATTTGAATTTCAGTTTCAATTTGTGACTTGTTTTGCTTGTGGTTAGGCTGATATCGTACTCTCTTGCTCACTCGCCACTTCCTCTGGCAGCACTGTTTAGCTGTGAACCGTCAACCAATCAGATTTCTCTACCTGATTCATGCTATTAAGCTGGTTGTCCCCGCTTCGCTCACTATGGTGTAAATAGCTGCAGCCTGGTAGTGTGCTGGAGGTGAGGTGTGCGTCATCTAGACAAGTAGTACACGCGGTCACCATTGATCAACATAACCTCAAGTTAAACAAGTATAACTTGCACCATGTGAATTTATTAAATAATTTGCATTTTATAAAGATTTATCTACCATTATATATAGTATATTCTATATAATATTGGAATATATTTATTACAGTAAATAATTAGACATTCTACTGCATTATTGTAAAAGTATTGGTTCAATATGCGGAATACAAAATATAGTAAGTAATAACATCATGTTTATATCAACTTTTAAGTTTTGAATAAAGTTATTAATTACAATATTCTAATTTACGTTTATTCCTAATTCGACAGCGAATAAAGGCGACAAAAAGAAACTTTCTTGGATTTATCGAAAGAAAATAAAGACACAGAAAGCTAGTAGATCAGTACAGAGCTCAAGTGACAATGCAAATGACAATAAAAAGCCCAGAATTATTATTCGTAATCTCTCGTTTAAGGTGAGTATACTCTATGATGACGGATTATAAAAACCGAAATGAAATTAAAACATATTTATATTTTACTGACAGGCAACAACAGAGGATATTAAAACGTTGTATGAGCCATTTGGTCAGATAGAAGAAATAAATTTTCCAAAACGTGCTGATGGTTCACCTGTGGGATGCTGCTTTGTTCAGTTTAAACAATTAAAAGATGCATCAAAGGCAATATTTAACACAAATAAAAAGGAATTCCTTGGTAATAAAATATTCTTATAGTCTCTGTAATATTATTTATCAATTGCATTAAGTTAGAAAAATTTTATTTCAGGCAGAGTAATAAACAGTAGTTGGGCTATTTCAAAGTCTAAATACTGTGAAAAGTTAAAAAAGGATGCTGCAGAAAATGTAGATGAAGCAGTGAATCAAGATGAGGAAGATAACCAAAATAACGAAGTCAATGTAAGGAAAGAATTTAATCTAGGTGAAGATTTTGATCTAGGTGAAGATGATCAAGAAGCAGAAGAAGATTATCAAGATGAAGAAGGTGATCAAGAAGCAGAGGAAGTAAAACAGGAAGAATTGAAGCCAATAAAGAAAGAAAAAGATCTTTCTAAAAAAGAGGAAACAGTACAGATAAGGAACGAACGTAGAAAGTTAGCGAAGGAAAAAAGCAGGAAGAGAAGAGCAAGGATAGTAATAAGAAATTTATCATTTGAGGTAAGGGAAAGTTTTCAAATAATTACATTTTCTTTAGTTTCGTTAATACAGCGTGGTTTAATTCATTTCAGGCCACTGAGAAACATCTGAGAAAATATTTTTCTCAGTATGGAGCAATAGAAGATGTAAACATCTTAAAACGAAATGATGGAAAAAACGTTGGCTGTGCATTCTTGCAATTTGAGCTTGTGCAAAGTGCAGCGAAAGCTATACATTATGCAAATCTGCAACCGCTTCTTAATAGACTCATGGTGGTTGATTGGGCAGTTCCTAAAAATAAATTTGCCATAAATGATAATAACATAGACGAAAATCAAGGAAAGGTGGAAGTTGAGGAAGGTAATGGAGAAAAATTGAAGGTTGAGAAAGATAGCCACACTAAAGACACACCTGCTGCAGAAACTGCAGAGAAATCAAATTCAAGTGAAGAAGTAAGTAGGTGAGTAATATACTTAGTAATATTAAATTTGATTAATATTTTCTCTAAAATATAGATTTATGGAAATTTCATTTAACAGCAATAGAGAACATGTAGAGGCTTCATCAGAATCAGATCAATCTGACAACGATGATGAAGAGGTAAACACTGAACTAGAAAATAAGGACGAAACCATTGATGAGGAATTACCTGAAGATGACAAAGAAGATATAAAAGAAATAGAGAAAGAAAATGATGTGGAAGAACAAAAACGGCCACGTTATGAGTCGCATGACGTTTCTGAGGGAAAGACGATCTTTTTAAAAAACGTGCCATTCTCTGTGAAGAACGAGCAATTAAAGGAATTCATGCAACAATTTGGACCCGTTTATTATGCTCTCGTGTGCATAGATCCACTTACTGAATACTCAAAGGGCACCGCATTTGTTAAATTTAAGGTAGATATTCACTTCTTACATTTAGTATATTATGGGACTTTTACTGTAAAATTGATTGCAGAACATTGAAGATGCTGAGAAGTGTTTGGCCGCAGGAACGGGTTTGGAAATAGATGATCAGATAATGGAAGCGCAAAGAGCGATAGACAGAAACGAGATTGAAAGTAAAGCGAAGTCGAAGCAACTGAAATATAAAGATACTCGGAATCTGTACCTTGTGAAAGAAGGCGGTATTGCTTACAAGAATTTTAATCTACACTGTTTTTATACTTTCTTAAAGACATTTGTACTATATAATTAATTTATTATTTAGTTATAATGGCAGGGAGTGCAGCTGCCAGTGGAGTTTCGGCAACAGATATGGCGAAACGATTGCAAATGGAGCAATGGAAGTCACAGATATTGCGCAATTTACACATGTTCGTGTCTAGAAGTAGGCTCATCATTCATAATCTACCATCTACATTAGACGATGCAAAACTTAGAAAAATCGCTGAACGTTATGCACCTACAGGAGCAATCGTTAGAGAGGTATCTTTAAATTCAAGTGTATTGCACAAAGTGTTTCAACTAACTTGAGTATGTCTTTGGTCAAATTACGTAGGATACTTTTTACATGAGCAATTGCTATGAAATAGAAATGATTAAACTAATTGTTTTAGGCACGGGTCATGCGAGATCTCAGAAATGTCGACATGAAAGGAGTAGGCAAGTCCAAAGAACATGGATTCATTTCGTTTACAAGACACGAGGATGCACTCGAAGCATTGAGAAATATAAACAATAATCCAAAGATCTTTAATCCGAAGAGAGTATGTATTTTTGCTTTAAATTTATTACATACTTTCTATGAATTTTAATTTATAACGCTTTGATTATTTCTGTAGCGACCGATAGTATCCTTTTCGATAGAAAATCGAGTTATGCTGAATGCTAGACAGAAGAGAACTGAAAAGAGTCGTGAAAACAATCCTACTTGGCCAGGAAACAAAGCAAAAAGGAAAGGAGAAGAAACGAACGAGGGACCTCTGTTGAAGAAATCCAAATTCGGAAATTCGAGTAAAATCGAGAATAATGAGCCAAGAAAAAAACCATTTGTAGGAATGGTTGCTAAGCCTGGTGAAAATAAAATGCGATCGAAGTTCAAATTAAAAAATCAAGCTGCAGTACATCATCAGTCAGTGAAAAAAGAGAAAAAATTGAAAAAGTCTTCTCAAAAATTGAAAGAGAAACGAAGAAATAGAAGAGAAAATAAAAACGAAGTAAAAGTTAGTATTCTTAATTTATAATGCACATTTTATTGTTATTTTTTTACTAGTATTTTAATTTTGTATCTTCTTTACAGTCAAAACAGAAGATGAAAGTAAAAGCCGCAGATATGAATTTGGATAGACTTGTAAATAATTATAAAAATAAATTAAAGTCGATAGAATTAAAGAAGTCCAAGTGGTACGAATCATAAATATATGGTAAAAAACATTGAAACTGACATAATCTTCTTTCAAATTGTAAAAATAATAATATAAAGTCAAGGATGTAATTAGAAATATATGCCAGTATCTTACATCTTAATTTTTAATAATCCCGAAATGTATATGACTTATTATACATTAAAGATGGAATTGCATTAAAACTGATCACATTCTGTAAAACGTGTTTATATTTACCGATGATCGCGTGGTACGCTGCAAACTCTCAAATCGCTAACGATTGGAGCATCTACGACCAATGGAAATCGTTCGCGATTTATGTAGTAGAAGAGGACTATCGAAGTAAGCGATTCAAAGATGCGGTATTCTTTGAACATGTAAATGATTCTTTTTTTTTTGACTCTGCCGATCATTCAGTATAATCGGGCGTTGTAAACCGATTAATGGTGTTAACTGCTTTAGACGATAAGATTAGTCAGATTTTATGGAAATTCGACGACTGTTCCCCACCTCATTCTGTCCTCCCACTTGTTCTCATTCTTTACATCATGGTACTTAATAAGTGGCGGGAACCGTCAAAGAGTAAAAGTGCATCTGATATCTTGGACCCCGCTGTCAGTACATATTCATTCGGAAACGATTGATCGATGCACGATGCACGTGTACCTGAAACAAGGTGTACAATTAACAACCTAATAATTAACTCTAACGAACGCGGCTTACGAAAATCGAAAGTGAGTTCCCATTTAAATAGACACAGTGACAATTGCGTTTGTGCAGAGAGTGAAATCCGGGCGCGAGTGACAGTACACTAAACGATTGAAATTTCTCGCAAACGGAAATCAATTTTTAACTGCATCGTGGTAAGTGCTATGGTTTTTAATTCTGAACAATATACAATTATTTCGAAGCAGTCTATATTAACACGAAATATTATTAAGTATTATTCTTCTCCGTTAACTACTGTATGATTGCTAATAACTTCGTATGGGATTCAATGGCATAAATGAAAAGAAAAGTGTTCTATGAGATTACAATTATCGTGACAATATTTGTGAATCGACCAAAATTACTATTAATTTACATTTATAGATCAAGTAAACGAAATATAAATAAATAAATGAATGCACGTGCTTTTATTTATTTCACAAGCATCGTCGACACAAGCAAATCAACATTAAAATCTAATAACAGGGAGAGAATTGCCGGACCGGAAATTTGGTCAAGGTAAACGTTTGAACGTGCTAACAGTACGACTATAATGTTTATCATTAGATCGTAAAGCTTTATGCGTTTATGGCTTAATTAAAAATATTAATATTAATTAATTTTAATAAACATTGAATAATTTATTTATACCTTTTCTTGAATGTAAAAACACTATATATATATATATATATATATATATATAGTGTTTTTATATATATTTGAAAAAATATCTACGTACTTTCTCTTCTGAACAAATAAAAATTGATAAATTTATGAAACACAAATAAATGATTTGGCGTCTTTACATTCGTTAAAAAATCTAAATAAATTATATTATATTATTATATTATATTTTTTCAAATGATTCAGCTGGTGCCATTCTGATACAGCAATGTTATTCAAGATTCTTGTTCGGCACCCGTTTGACGTCACAACTTCTCTGGCATACAAATACATAGAAATACATTTTTCAAACAGCGAAACGAGTTCCATGAACAATTCTAGCCGGTGAGCACGAAACGATCGTGCCGTAGTTTCACCTGAAAGAGTTTCCGTCGATCCCGCGGTGCAATTTGCTAATACACAACGGAACTATGTCTTTAGTATCGAATGTAGGCGTGCTGGAACACGAGTCACGTTCCACGAATGATTATAGTATTTAGCAGGATTATTTGTAGCGAACGATTATTTGAAGTCAAACGAAGTTTGAGTCATTGTTTCGCTGGTTGCAAATATCTTTGCAAAATATGAATCCATCGACGTAAATAGTTACGATATGATTCACTGTTTCAAATTGGACCGAGCACCGAGGATGGCCGGTTCTAAATAGTAACTGTCCTTGGAAAAGAAAAATTATGGGAAACAGGTCCAGCACGGTCTAGACACCAGAGTCTCCAAATCTCTCATTTGCATCTCATTGTTTGATTAATTTAAATGAATTATATAAGCGATCTCTTTCGCACATTCCGTGTTACAGGAAGAAAAAGATGAGAATATTACATGGCAGGTTCGCCGGTTCGTTCGCGTGTTATTTTAAATTTAAACCATGGAGGAGTGCAGTCCGAGAGATCGAGACTTTGGCCACGGAAATCGAGGAGCAAGATTTGGCTAGGTGTCGTCCGTACACCGAAATTCCTGGGCCAAAACCTATTCCTCTTTTGGGCAACACGTGGCGATTCATACCGTTCATAGGTACGCACCGACTAACACTACCTGCCCTTAAACCTGAAACGAGACTGGAAACATTGNATATATATTTGAAAAAATATCTACGTACTTTCTCTTCTGAACAAATAAAAATTGATAAATTTATGAAACACAAATAAATGATTTGGCGTCTTTACATTCGTTAAAAAATCTAAATAAATTATATTATATTATTATATTATATTTTTTCAAATGATTCAGCTGGTGCCATTCTGATACAGCAATGTTATTCAAGATTCTTGTTCGGCACCCGTTTGACGTCACAACTTCTCTGGCATACAAATACATAGAAATACATTTTTCAAACAGCGAAACGAGTTCCATGAACAATTCTAGCCGGTGAGCACGAAACGATCGTGCCGTAGTTTCACCTGAAAGAGTTTCCGTCGATCCCGCGGTGCAATTTGCTAATACACAACGGAACTATGTCTTTAGTATCGAATGTAGGCGTGCTGGAACACGAGTCACGTTCCACGAATGATTATAGTATTTAGCAGGATTATTTGTAGCGAACGATTATTTGAAGTCAAACGAAGTTTGAGTCATTGTTTCGCTGGTTGCAAATATCTTTGCAAAATATGAATCCATCGACGTAAATAGTTACGATATGATTCACTGTTTCAAATTGGACCGAGCACCGAGGATGGCCGGTTCTAAATAGTAACTGTCCTTGGAAAAGAAAAATTATGGGAAACAGGTCCAGCACGGTCTAGACACCAGAGTCTCCAAATCTCTCATTTGCATCTCATTGTTTGATTAATTTAAATGAATTATATAAGCGATCTCTTTCGCACATTCCGTGTTACAGGAAGAAAAAGATGAGAATATTACATGGCAGGTTCGCCGGTTCGTTCGCGTGTTATTTTAAATTTAAACCATGGAGGAGTGCAGTCCGAGAGATCGAGACTTTGGCCACGGAAATCGAGGAGCAAGATTTGGCTAGGTGTCGTCCGTACACCGAAATTCCTGGGCCAAAACCTATTCCTCTTTTGGGCAACACGTGGCGATTCATACCGTTCATAGGTACGCACCGACTAACACTACCTGCCCTTAAACCTGAAACGAGACTGGAAACATTGTACTACCAGATGTCCTCTCTCATTTTTTCACTTCAACATTTCAGCTACCTGTTCAGCCATCAATCTTCGGACGGGCTCGTCTGGATCCGGCTTTTTGAATTTTCATTTCGAAAACCAATTGTCAGAGATCGTGTTGATCATTTCTTAATTTTGATCGGGATGGTTCAAGCCCGTCCTTAGCATCTTTCTCTTTATCGATAGCTCGATCGTGTAGCATTCAATAAAGATAAGAGTAAGAGTGTGGATCACTGATTTATGGGCCACGATTACAGGTGACTTTCAGATCCAATCGGTGGATAAGGTGTCACGGAGGCTGTATGACGAATATGGTGATATTGTAAAGATGGAGGGCCTCCTCGGCAGGCCAGACATGGTCTTCATCTACGACGCGAACGAAATCGAACGTATCTTCAGACAAGAGGAGAGGATGCCTTACAGACCGTCGATGCCTTCTCTCAACTATTACAAGCACGTGCTTCGAAGGGATTTTTTTCGTGGTAACGCCGGCGTGATCGCTGTGTAAGCTTTCAATCGTTGCATTAACAGTTAATGTTTATATTACGCAAGGAAAACTTAAAAAAAAATCTTCTACATCAACCATACAAAATATACGTGTGTTTCTTACGTGAAAATTTGACAGTCTAAGGCAAAAATTTACTCCAATTTGGCAAATGCTAACGCAAAAGGATAAGTCCACATTGAATTTTTCTATAAATGCATATATAGGCACCGCGCTTTCAAATTACATTTGCGTGTCTCTAAAACGTCCACCTGAAAATCTTGAAGTCATAGTCCGGTGATTGATACATGACTTTCGTCAGTCATACATGCAGTAGTATCGTCGGCTCGGAGAGGTCAATGGCACCTGTTATTTGGACCATAAAAGGGGTAGTTGAAAACGGCACGTAATTCTCGAGGAGTTCTCGAACAGTCAGAAAATTGTGCTACAATTATCCCCACCCGTTCATCTGACTGTGAAAACCGATACTTTTTGAGGCAGTGCAGTTTTACAATATTCAATGCTATAGTTCCGTTGAACATTTTATTGTTCCTTTTAATGTAATACATTCGAATCATTCAATTAATTAGTGTTCAATTAATATATAACGTCTTTATCACTTCGTGTACGAAATATATGTTTTATTATACGAGCACCCGCTGGCAATTACTCGCTCGTTAAATCGAGTGGCCAGCCACTTTCTTCTGTCATAAATCCGTGTTATTACCCACAATAGAGTTTTCACGTTGCCCTGCAACCCAGCCGATCAGAATACAAGGCAATTTGATATAGCGGGTCACTTAGTAACACTGACAGGCGCGTTGCAGGTTGTAGCACTTCCGGGCCAGACAGATCAGGCGTGGATAGATTCAATGGATGTCGTTACGATTGCACAAACAGCAATAGTCTTTTCAATCTCGATAGGCCTGACGATTACTTGAGGGTAAATGAAAGCGAACGGATGAAGTAATATCCCACAAATGGGAATCGCTGATTAATGCTGATTACAAAATGTCATTATACGTTGTCCAAGGATGAGTAGCATAAACGGTAGTTCCGGTTCATAGCGGTACAAACAGCGTGTTGAAACCTAAGTATGTTCAAAGATTCGGTAAAATGAATTGGTAAAAACTGATCGGAACTTTGGGTTCAGTGGAACGACGTGTTTGCGATCGGACACGCGTCCTCGCGTTCTCGCAATCTCAAAATGTTTGCAGATGTTCCATTAGCACGCGTGTAATATTTAAACATTGACTTTGCAATTCGCACGGTGGTTAGGGGCGCAACCTCTTTTCGCTTGGCAAACACATCGCGTCGCAAATATTTGCGGCTGTCGTTGAACGCTGGACAAGTATAACGATGAGACGCATGTTCCCGTTGCACTTTCATTGTTAGATACGCTTCGGCTATGCTCGCTTTCCTTATAATCTCACGTTGCCATTTCTGTACCGAACGGAAAAACCGTTTGCTCTATTTTCATGTTCCTCCTACTTGCACGGTGCAGGACTAGATCGTGCAATGTTAACAGGCTTTGCAAAAAAACCTTGTGTGATGCATTTTTATCGCGGACGCTAATGAAAACAGTGAAACTATCGGAACACTATCTTCTTAAAATCAATGCGTTATCTTCAAATATTATTAATTAAAACAAAGCAGAAATTTCGTTCCTGCTTCTCGTTGTTCCCGCAGATAATTCTCATTTGCATAAAGTACCGCCGTGATTACCTACCTGTAGGCATTGGTCAATACTTGACGGATATAAGGAGTGATCCTCAGCGAATCAGGATTTAATTAGAATCAGGTATTGTCGACGTTTATGCAAATATTGATATTTATAGAGGAATTTCAAGCAGAGTTACGAATGTGGAAATTTATGGAAATTTATGTAGCCGAGTTTAAAAGCAGCCGGATAATTGAATAATAATAGCCGGATAAATTAAAGGGCATACAAAAAAATGGAATAGATGAAATAAATGGTACAAATGTTTGCTCTAATATAATGTAATGTTATGCGTAAGTTCTTGTGGTCCGTCGGTAGCGTAACAATGCAATGACGATCGGTTGATGCACCCTGTAAAAGAGAAATCGGTATCTAGTTTAAAAGCAAAACACGACACCGCTGCATCGTGCGTCTCCGCTAAGGGTGTATATCGGTGAAAAGGGGGTCGTTGACACAATGCAATTACATTGCAGCTCTAGTTGCCATGCAGGAAGCGAGAGTCTTAACCGGTGACGTAACCTTTCCTTTCATGCGGATCGCAAGAACGTATCGTTTACCACCGTTTTGGCACAACGCTCGTTTTGTTTGTCCCAATTTATTTGTACGTTTTTCTGGCAGACCGTCGAGACGGTTATAAGCACGGTAACCACTGCAAGCTTCCCAACATGGTCATTGCAGTCTCCAGCGGTTAAAATATCAATTTCTTTCCCTAATCCGTTAGGTTTCGATAAATCGTGATGGTTTCACTTATTATTTAGAATTCAATTGAATACTAAATTTACGAAATTGCCTTCGATCGAAGCGATTTGGATTTATCGTTTTAATGTAACTCACTCTTGTATGTTTATTTATAGTTGTTAATACGTCAGCAAAATCTCTCGTTCTTCTCGCGCGATGATCTACTCGCGTCGGAATTAGAAAGTTTAGTACTATCGCTTCTTTTTTTTTCATAACCATAGTTCAAGGCACACCGTTTGCTATGACCGATCCGCCTGCCGGGTTGGGATGATGAGATAATTCATAGTTTCCATTCGGCCTCACCTTTCACCGGATCATCATCTTATCGACGTTAGCAATGATTCCCGTATTTCGCAGCATTAAAGTGTACGCGGCACATCCGGTGTTGACATTTTCGATGCAGCATTTCCGGTTTCAAGCATTTCCTGCGTTTCGGTTGCGGAGGCTGTAGAAATAATTTTTACATAAAACGATTCTGCACAGAATCGTCCAAATACAACGGTATATCTTTCACCGGTATCACAAACGTTCGGACATAATTAGAAATTGTTTAAACAAGCGTGTCACCACCGAAGCGCTAATTTTCTCAGACATTTCGCTTTAGAAAATTAGATACTTTCTGTACGCCACTTAAGTCGGGTGTCCATCTCAGAGTAAAACTACTCTCGCAAAACGAATTGGTTTCGTACTGTGCTAGTAGCTATCTGACAATGGCTCTCGTACGACTTTAAGACCTGGTTCCCCATATACTAAACTATAAAGCAACTGTCGGGAGTTTTACTCTCAGACGGACACTCGCCTTTAGTATTACCTAATACCACTATGCTGTTGCTGTGATAGCAACTGAGTACCCCGAAATACGACTACGAGGGTCCCAGATTTTTCTAACGAAAGTTTCTGTTCCAGACATGGCGAGGACTGGTACAACTTCCGGAGCAAGGTGCAACAGGTGATGCTGCAACCGCGGACCGCAAGAATGTACATTTCTTCCATCGAGGAGGCGAGTTTAGCATTCCTTCAAAGGTTCGCCGACAAACGGTCCCCGATTAGACCCGATTCCACGCGTCTGTGACTGATCGAGACTTTACAACCTTTCACTCTCCTCTTCTCTTCCATCAATACAACCAGTGTCGACACCGCTAACGGAATCTCTCCCATTTTTCAGAATATCCGCTATACGAGACGAGAACAACGAGGTGCCCGACGATTTCCTCAACGAGGTTCACAAATGGTCCCTCGAGTGTGAGCAGAAAGCGATATTTCGTAATTCCTCACGGCCGATAGGCTTCTTCTTTTAAATATTTACAAATCATTCTGCATGGATTCCCTTCAGGTATTCTTGCACAAGGGAGCATTCGAGGTCTGTCGTTTGAGAAATAAAGTCTGTGGATCCCCGAATTGGATCCCGTTTCACCGTTCAAAATCATGACCATGAACTTCGCTCGTATAAAAAGATTCTTATGCTTTTTATGTTTGATAATCGCGCTGATCTGGAAATAATGGTGCAGCCCCGAGTTTTTATGTCTCCGATCACGCAAGTCACTTTCGTTAATAAGCGAAAGGTGTGCTGGATTCGGGTCCCCGCCTCAAGCAAAATTCAACCGAATGATTTTGGTTACTAGAACTATAAATAGTTAGAATCAACTACCAAAATAGCTGCAATATTTTTTTTCACGGTCACTCTGGTTCCACTTTTCAGCCATAGCACGTGTAGCATTGGACGTTCGACTGGGTTGTATGGATGACAACGCGAATGCTGAAACCCAGAAGCTGATTGACGCTGTCTGCACTTTCTTCGTTAACGTGGGAGTGTTGGAACTGAAAATACCGTTCTGGAGGCTGTTCAACACACCTACGTGGCTACAATACGTAAACGCGTTGGACACTATCGTCGAGTACAGTCAATTTTATTGAAAAATCCGATAAATATTGATTGCCCTATGGGACAGTACCCTGGTGCAGTAAATTCTCCCTAATTCGTGCTCAGATTGTGCACAAAAATGGACAATTTGAGAAGAAGAGATACGATTATTCATGCCTTGCGGCTCGTTTTTATAGTTACCGATTGTCAACAAATCTAGAAACGAGCTGCGAGGCTCAAATAATAATCTACTCTTCCCAAATTGTCTATTTTTGTGCACAATCTGAGTGCGAATTAGAGTGAATTTACTGTAGTTCCGTTGAGACTGTATTTATTTGGGGTAGATTATAAATAGTAGGAAGACTATAAGGAGTGGAGTAAATTTAATTCATTATTTATACAATTTTCAGCACTACTTCAAAGTACACTGAAGCTGCTCTTGCAAGAATTCGAAAGGCAAAGGATAACGACAAAGAACCTTCTCTGTTAGAAAGAGTGTTGACTCTTGAGAACGATACCAAACTGGCCACTATCCTCTCTCTGGACCTATTTTTGGTTGGAATAGATACAGTTAGTAAGATTTTCAAAGTTTAAATCTGCAATCAATAAATCTAATGCACTGAATTAATATATTTAACATTATCCATGAACGATGCTGTAGACTTCGAATTCTGTGGCATCGGTGCTTTATCAGCTGGCCCTGCACCCAAATAAGCAAGATTTAGCATACAAGGAAGTATGTAATGTGATACCAGGCGAGGATATGCAACTCGAAGGGAAACACTTGGATCAATTGAAGTACCTGAAGGCATGCATTAAAGAAACCCAAAGGTTCGTGTATACTTTTGCAGAATAGCTTGAATGTAGTCAGCAGTTATAAATTTCTCTTCTTAAATTTCCAGGTATGCAGAACCCTTTAACTCCTAAACTCTAAGAAAAAAGGGCCCTGGTCCTACTCTTTTGAACGTCGATGACAACCGGTAATCTTTAATCCTTTCGACCACAGTTTCTAACAGGATTCACAAGGATTCTAACAGTTCTGAGTATATATCAAACAGTTCTTTTCACGCCTGAGGATTCACAAATTGTGTTAACACACCATCTTCCTGTTTCATAAATATGAACTGTATGTACTTCAAAGAAGAGCACACACACATATACACATACACATAAACAGTACGTCGAGTAAACTGCAAGACCTACTATACAGTTGCATAAGTTTCAATGTCTGATATATACGTTACGGTCAAAATGTAAACAAGGTTGGAGACAAGGATAAATGAATTTATTGTTATTACTGAGTAACGATGATCTCATTTTTTTCTCAGAATGTATCCGGTCGTTATCGGCAATGGACGCTGCATGACCAAGGACACGGTGATCAGTGGATACCAAGTACCTAAAGGAGTAAGAAACATTCTCATATAAATGAAGCTTCGATAGAGATTCTATTAAATTTTTTTTATAAATCTGGATCAATGTGTTTTATTCATTTTATGCGATAAACACGAGCAATTAAATCTCTCATTTGCCAGATGATCGTCAGGCGATGATAACATAATTAAGGCCTTAGAGAATTTAAGCGAACTGCTCTTTCATCGCGTCGTGTCGCAATTAAAAAGAACACAGTGAACAGAACAAGAGGATTTCTCCTCAATTAACAATCATTGTCTCTACAATTAGGTCCAAGTGGTCTTTCAGCATTACGTGATAAGCAATCTGGACAAGTACTTTCCGCAAAGCAACGAATTCCTTCCGGAACGGTGGCTGCAAGCTGATGGCGTGCGTCATAGTTTCGCATCGCTTCCTTTCGGCTATGGCAGGAGAATGTGTTTGGGTCGACGGTTCGCTGAACTGGAAATGCTGGTTGTCATTAGTAAGGTAATAAAATTGTAATCTAATTATCCGGATACTCCAGATTTTAGTTGGACGGTCATTCTATTTAATTAAGTCTGCGCTGCTACGACCATAAAGTTATGCGAACGGACAGTTATTATTCAGCGTTATAAAACAAACGATATCAGTTCTAGTTATATGCAAGGCACGTACACGGTGTCATATTTTTATCGAAGAAAAGAATTTTTCCAAGATTACCTATGAAGCAATCTAATCATAAGATAATCAAAATTTACAGTTCCAGTCAAAAAATCCTTCGATTACCTTGAGATATTGAAAACTGTGACCTCGAGAAATATTCTTTGCATACCACATTTGCCATGTCAAATCTAATAATATGTTCTTTCGACGTTTTTTTATACATATTATCAATAATAAGCGTGTTATTTGATGGAGGACCATTTTTAATTCCTCAAGGACGAGGTATATTATCGCGATTTGACTACACATATACACAGGAAGCGGTAGAGTATAGGGAGAAGGGACCGAGCCAGCATTTCGGAGTTTTATTACGATATAGCCGATGCCCACTTTAACTACAGTCCTGTTAGTTTCCTTGGTGGTCACGGCAAATGCTCACGAACAATAAACATCCGAGAATTCGCCGTTTATTGTGGGGGACAATTAGGCTCCTTGAGATGCCATCAATCTTGTCGTCTGAGCGCCGCCGAGCTACCTAGCTAACGCGAACCTTGAGTGCACATCTGATCCCAGTGACTTTATTTTCATCGAAAACGTTGTCATTACAATTTCCTCTGTTCTAACATTAAATAGGGATTGCGTATCTGCATCTGTTGAGACATTAGGCTGACCAGAAGACTAGCATTTTGTCTATCTGAACAATGCTTCATGTCACAATCTCAGGACGTATAATTATTTTGTAAATATTTAAAATACCAGCTTACCTATATTATTGTATATGAAGTACTACAATCTTCTGAAGTATTTTATTTAAACAAAAAAACTGAGAATTTGTACGACATCAATTACAATTTTCAACATTCTCACGTTTCGTGCGTCCTAATAAAATTAGATGGGATTTTGTAATAGATTAGCGTAAAAAATAATTTTCAAATCTGTGGAAACAGCAAAATTTAAAATCTTTGACTGTGAAAGTGTTAAAGGGTAAGATACGACACTGAGATAAAATGAAAGGAAATATTCCTGTTCCCAGAATTTCCAAGAACAGCAATAAATTATTCAAATGGTTTCACGATATTCGAAACGTTCTTGCTGCTTCTAACAGCGTCAATAAAGATGGAAAATTCCTTTTACCGTCCAGAGGGGTAATAAATACAGGGTAGTTAAGGAACTTGGGATTTTCGAACGCTGTTTATTGCGCGCACTGTGTCCCTGCAGTGAAATTACCTGGGACGTCTCCTGAATTTTCTGACTACGTTGCAACGCATATTTCACTATTCTCGAATAATAACAATTTCGAACGTTTTCTTGGACTCAAAAATACTTGGGACGTCTCCTGAATTTTCTGACTAGGTTGCAACGCATATTTCACTATTCTCGAATAATAAAAATTTCGAACGTTTTCTTGGACTCAAAAATACTTGGGACGCCTCCTGAATTTTCTGTCTAGGTTGCAACGCATATTTCATTACTCTTGAATAATAAAAATTTCATACATTTTCTTGGACTACAAGAACGGTCAGAACGGTGGTAAATGTGCAAGAGAAATTTCCGGCAGTAAAAAATGAGTTCGTGCTAGCTCTGTGCTCGCTTTCTAGTTCTTTGCCTTAAGAAATTTCACTTCATGTTTCCTCTATCGTTCTCCAGAAGCCCATTGATCATTGAGGTCACAGTATACGACGCACGAGGAACAGAGAAACATAATTGGGAGGAAAATAATGGCGAGAGAGCGTGCAGGAAATGTTGACACCCCTTGGTCAATTAGGTTTCGTATTTTTTCTTTCGTGAAATCCACAACGTTTGTAACAAAAAGATAATATTTATTTGGTACAACAGAACTATATACACAGTGGAGCAATTTTCGTTCACGAGTCTACCCACGATGTTTTTGTTAGGATTATGATTTAATATCCTAAGTGAATTCTTCTTCTAAACGATTCTCGTATTCGATCGGTGCAAAATATGGTTTTGTTTCAGATTCTTCAGCGTTACAAAATAGAATATCATTACGAGAAACTAGAATACCACATCAACCCTATGTATTCGCCAAAGGGACCTCTAAACTTGAAGTTCATCGACAGGTAGTTCACATTGAGGAAGCACCGTGCGAACAATAAATTAGTTACGTATAGACTGAGAACTTTATATGCTACATATTTTATGTCTTCAATCTGTGTTACAACGTGTAGGAAAGTCTCGTCAGCCTTATTCTATTCTTTGGGATATAATAGCACCCTTGATAGAAGAAACAAATTTTAAAAAATTCTAATTTGTGTAAAAATGTATATCTGCATAAGCATCGGCGGTCTAGTTATTTATTTTGATATGTACAAAAATAAATAGAAAACGAGTAAGTGCATGGTCTCGGTGAGCATGGTCTTTATTCATTATCTCCGCATCACCTTGAATTTCAGCTCACCGTCTGGGGCGTACATGAACGTAATTTTGTATTTGAGTGGTTCATGGTGGTACTCCAACTTGTAAGACCGTATTAACTGGAGCACAAGAACAATATGTGAATGTTTAACCTTACAACAATCTATGTGAAATCTATCTAATAATACAGTGCGTCTTAATGAAAATGTTCTGCCTTTTCGACATTTGACATTTAAAGATCCATAATTTTTTCCTTACTTTGGCAAGTAGCACCTGCATCTCCAAATCGGCAAATCTTCTACCTAAGCACATGCGTGCACCATGGCCGTAGGGCAGGGATGCAAAAGGGTGCAGTGTCTCTTTCGTAGATTCTTCGAGCCATCTCATGGGCCTAAATATTTTGGAATCTTTCACGTACCGTTCCATATTCCCTGTTACGACCGTTGGAAATACCACTTGTATCTGCAATCGATTAGACTGGCGTTAAATCTTACTCACGATCAGACCGCAATTGGAAGTACTGTCATTAAGAATGCGTTACTTACTCCCTTCGGTACTTTGTAGCCACAGATTACAGTGTCATTTTGTAATGTTCTGCCGTTCCCGATGACGGTAGAATATACCCTGAAACGCAGCATCATGTACTTTTGACGTTCTATCTACTTGCATTGTTTAACGAAGTATGGACTTTTCACTAATACACACCTAAACACCTCGCGTATAAAAGCTTTCATGTAGACGGCTTGATCGAGATGTTTCGTGGTGAGAGGAACAGATGGATCAGGGAGAATTTCTACGAGCTCCTCGTGAATTTTCTGCTGCTCTTCCGGTCTAGTTGCCAGCTGATACAATATCGAGCAAACGGCCATAGAAATCTGCAATACCATGGGACAATTAAATATCTGTTTTCCGTTACATTAGAAACGAAAGGTCGTCATTGCTAGTTTTATACGTACAGTATCTATACCAACTAGAATTAAATCCAATGCAAGGATGTATGCCATTTTAGGGTCAGTCTCTGTTGCTAGAATTCTCTCCATCAAGGATAGGTCAGAGTCGTTGACAGCTTGCTTGGTCTTCAACCTCTCAATTGCAGCATCGATGTACTTCATGCATACTCTGAGGAGTAGAATTATCATATAATATATAATAATAATAATAATAATAATATAATAATATATAATGATATATAATAATAATAATATAATAATAATAATAATAATACTATATAATATAAATAATAATATTATCATTGTGCAGTCATCCTACCTATTGCTGCCAAATGTAATTGTTCTATAGAAATTCAGTACGACTCACTCCATAAAGTAATCCATGTTGCGTACATATTTTGTCCACAGACGAGAAGGTAAGTACCTCCAAAAGGGAGCCTTCAACTCGAGAACTGCTACATTCCTCAGAGCAAACTTTGCAGCATCGATGATCTTCTGAGGCTCCGAGTCTGGAGTTAGAGTACCACCCAGGCAACCTAATCTTACATCGAGAGCCACTCGACCGATGCCTGCATATTATGAACGTAATTTCGATGTATTAAGTAGATTAAGTACTGTAAGAATCGATGGAAACAGTGCAAACATTTTAGATCTACCAGAAAGTTCTAGTTTCAGTAATCGTACTTTCTGCTAAATCTATCGTGCTTCTGGCATAAAATGTATACGAACACTCTAGGGCCCATTTGTGTATCTCATTGTCAAAGTCTCCCGGCAGTTCTCCATCTTCTCCTTTAATTTCTTCAATCCTGAAACGAAATGTTAACAACTTTTAAGCTACATACGCGTCTAAAATTTGTATATGTTTCAGTAGCAATAGGATTAACATTTCCAAGGCAATTGTTGACAACTTATTGTAGCCTGCTAGTGAATAAAGCTTTAACACTCGAACGGCGGACTATTTTGACGAAAATCTAACCGAGTATAGTTCGGATTATTTATAATTTCATTTGTCAATCTTTTTTAAGGCACTTATTCTAGACGCGTCAATTTTTCCGTAGTCCTCATTGAAACACGTGAAAAATCAAAAATTAATTGTCACAAACTAGATACTGAAGTAACCATATTTGTAATCTGGTTCCAAACGGAGCCAGACCTCGTCGTTCGAGTGTTAAAAAGGTAGGACGACGATCACTAATTATAATAATGGCCACTAATGAAATCTGCGATGCATAAACTGTACTATAAAGTAAAATATTTGTCTTCTGGGAAAGGAGGAATTAGTCATCATTGAAGCAAGAGTTTGGCATTCGGGCTTGCCAAGGCTGGCGATCACGACACCACGGTCTCAAAGTGCAAGGTCACCCGAAATTACCTTTTTATAAAGTCGGCAGTGACCACCTCAATGGGCGTGATGTATTTTCGAACAGTCTGCGGCTGGAGCACTGGTTTCTGTACGCGTGTACGAAATTCTCGCCAAGGCTCTCCGTGTCTAGAATAAGCAAATATTTTATTATGTCATCTACGATAGCTCATTCGCGTCGGTCGAATGTTCGCGGCTTGTTTGAGGGCCAAGGAAAACCAGAGACGATCGACCGCTCGATGTCGAATTTGTTCATTGCAGTCATACGGAGATTTCGAAGAATGAAATGCGCGAACTATGTTGCAACGTAGAATAAGATAACACCTACTCATCCTGGCCACAAGTAGTTGTACTTGACAGCAAGTGCGTATTCCAACAAGAATGCAATTTTACAAGAACCGGATGACAACTTCACTGGCTTTCTGTTTCAAGTGTTTGTATTCTTTCTTTTAGTTTTTGTACTTCATCTGTTCTTGCGTGGCTACTATCATATTATCATTATCATTATTATCATTATCATCATTATCACCATCATTATTATTATTATTATTATTATTATTATTATTATTATTATTATTGTGGAGGATTCACCGAGTCCAAGGCTTCGATCCTCGGACCTACCCCTTGCGAAGATAGTCCGCGAAACCAAAACCTCGCTAGCATTACTTCGATTCCGGGGCAGTGCTATTGGCACTAATAATAACAATAATATTATATTATATTATAATATACAATATATTATATTATATTATATTATATTATATTATATTATATTATATTATATTATATTATTACATAATAATTATAATAATAACAATAATAATGATAATAATTATTGTTATTATATTTTAATGGGACGCATAGTACAAAGTTGGAGTTATCAGAAAGCTGTACGGTTGATTCATATATCATCGTGATTTAATAGAATCAATTACCAACATTACTCAACGCATACTCGCGGAAGTATGCGATCGATTCAGATAAGAAAAGGTCTCGCGCATCATCGATCATACAAAGTTAAAACGGAACGATTTCGAATTCTACGTACACTCCAACAACGCCAGGCAGACTTCCAAAGAAATCCTTGCGCACGACGCCTTTGTAACGCACCAAACAGGGCATCGACGGCCTGAACGGCGTTGGCCCTTCCTGCCTGTAGATCTTCTCGATCTCGTCGGCGTCGTAGACGAAGAGAAGATCCGGTCGGCCGATCAATCCGCTCAAGCGACAAATGATCCCGTACTCGTCGTGGAATATTTGCGACACTCTCGCCATGTCGGAGATCTGGTACTGACCGATCACCGGGAACAGTCTCCAGGTGTTCCCGAGGATCGGGATCGGTTTCGGACCCGGGATCTCATTGTACGGCCTCGCCTGGATCGATGTGTCGTGATCCAGGCTGTAAATCCGCGGCGAGGTCACCGTTCCCGCTCCTAAACGCACAATGGAGAAGCATGAAGACGCGCGTTGAATGCTTGATCGAGCACGATCGATTTCGATGCGCTTTCTTCGAGAGGAATTCAACACTTTTCCTTCATCTAGAAACGTAGACTATGGGCTTCTGCGCATTTATGAGAAAAATGGCGCAGAGAAACGTTACAAAAGTGTACCATTTTTATGTCGACTTATGGCAATCGATGTTTCTTCTGTGTAAGAGATTGAAATTGTTATTCGAATTTTTACCTGTACAGAGATTGCGTTGAACTGCATCCCGCGCTCGCAGAAATTGACCTTTCAGGATGAACTGCAGCTGCCGATGCATTCTGCAAATCGTGCGAAATACATTACTATAGATAACGAAGTCGGGGACGCAACCGGCGAACATTAAAATGATGCTCTTCGGAAATTGTACGGTTGCTTTTACTTAGAGACTAAGGATTTTAAGCGGGGGATTCGAGGCAAGCGGGATCGATATAGTAGAATTATTCAAGGATCAAATTTTGATACAGTTCCAGTTGCGGAAAATTCTTCTTCTGTCTAAAAATTCGCGGTCTGTCGGCAATCGTTCGCTTGCTCTTATCCCCGATGAGCGTGCAACGATTTTAATAATTCTCCGATTTCGGTCACGAACGACTTCATCCTTGAACTATGTTCTTCCATAGCATTTCGAAAACCGAGCGTACATAAATTTACATAAGTTAGCAGTGTTCTTCTCTGAATTACACGCATGCTATAAATTTCCACATTCCACTTCATCGTTCGGCCCGACTATCGATACACGGTTGATCGCTTAAGAATTATTGCTAATGATCTGCGATTTACAAGCTCACGTTCATAAAGTATGCGATGTCTTCGCAGGAGAAGATATATGTGTTCAGATCTCTATTTAAATATAATTATAATTAATATAATTATAAATTATATATTAAAATGCGAACTACAGTAATGTCTCCCCAACCGACGCTAAGATTGTGCACAGAAATGGACAATCTGGGAAGAGGAGATACGATCTCTATGACCTAACGTGTAATCCTATACGCGCGTCTATTTTTGCAAATTATATTAACATGCGAACTACGGTAATGTCTCCCCAACTGACGCTAAGATTGTGCACAAAAATGGACAATTTGGGAACAGGAGATACGATTATTCTAGCCTTGTAGCTCGCTGTTATAGTTGTTGACAATTCGTAACTATAAAAACGAACCGCAAGGCTCGAATAATCGTATCTCCTCTTTCCAAATTGTCCATTTCTGTGGACAACCTGAGCGTCAATTTTGGAGAGACATTACTGTAGTTTATTTCTTTACATAACATACAGTCCACCAGAGCGATCGGGGAACGCAGTTACATGCTACCGTACATACTGTGCACGGTATATGCAATCTCTATTCGCAATTTCCACAAAATTCTGCGTTCCCGAACGGAAACGTACAGAGACCTGCAATTAGGCACCCAAATCGCACCCTTACCTGTAAATCATCGAAGACCCTCGTGACCCCTCCGGTTCCCCTTTGTCCGGTCGTTCTGTTATCCGCGTTTTCGTTTTCAGCTCTCAGCGTAGACAACGATCGTAAATTGGGCCTGACAGCGTTACCATCCTAATCGAGAATGGTCGCGGGACTCTTAGCACCTTTCCAGGGTCGCGAGGACTCGAACGGGGTCGCGGAAAACTCAACTCCGCGCGCCTTCTCGTAGACGCGCGCTCTTCACACGATACACCCGACAAATGGGACTAGTAGATCTGGCCGCGCTCAGACCCCTCTCCCGACTCTACCCGATTGATCACCCGCCTCCCACCAGGTGGTTAACGGTCCGAATTCTCGGGCCGGTCGCTATTCCCGGGATTGCTACACGGAAGACTATCCACTGCCACTCGTGGCGGTCACTTTCACGTCGACAACAACCTCCATTTTAATCTTCACTCGACTTTCTTCGTTAGAATTCGGTTCATCTAATTTTTTCCGAACGACAGCCATTCTTGCGTAAATCGTCTCCGTTACCGAAATCGTAGCTACAAGCTGAAACAAACGGAGTTGTAAGAGAACAATTGTTTTGTCAACTAGAACGTCTTTATAAATATAGTAAATTCTTTCTAATCCGCGCTCTGCTTGTACACAAAGTGGATAATTTTGTAAGCGGATTATTCGAGCCTTGCGGCTCGTTTTTACAATCACCGATTGTCAACAACGATAAATGCTGTATAACTGTAACAACTATAACTATTATATATATACTATATTATTATGTATATGTTATTACTATATATATATTATTATATATATATTACTATATTATTATGTATATATATACTATGACTATTATTAATAACTATTATTATAAATTCTAGCCGTGAAGCTAGAATAATTGTATCTTCTCTTTCCAAATTGTCCATTTTTGTTTCCAAACGGTGCGTCAATTGGGGATCAATTAGGGATTAGCGGTCAATTAAATCTTACTTCTGTGTTCATACAGAATCTTCTTGGCGGTGGTTGTTCTGCACAGAAAACAATGCCCTTTTCTCTCACCGGATCGGTAAAGTTCATGGCGAGAATTCGGTCTTCAAGAACAGACCCATTTATTAAAAAAATGGTATACAGTAAATTCTTCCTAATTCGCGCTCAGATTGCGCACAAAAATGGATAATTTTGAAAGGGGAGATACGATTATTCGAGCCATGCGTCTCGTTTTTATAGTTACCGATTGGCAACAACTATAAAAACGAGGGCCGCAAGCTTCAAATAATCGCACTTGCTCTTCCCAAATTGTCTATTTTTGTGCGCAATTTGAACGCGAATTGGGGAGAAATTACTGTACTTATTGATTACTATGCTATAATTTGCTATTATTTCCGGATCTATGTTTATATGATCCTTTCCTCATCCTTTGGGGGATCCAGAATACGATAACGAAGTTCGTTCATCTATTTCGAGGACGCCGATCTGCTGACTTGCATATTAATATAGCTCTTTTCGCACTCGAAACAGATTTTACAAACGTCGAGATTTCGTTGTACAGAATCAAATCGAAGGAAAAATCATTATGCTGCCCGATAATGAGATCCATTTTTGTGCACAATCTGACCGCGAATTAGGGAGAAATTTACAGTAGTTCGATATATTATTTTTAGACATGTTCGTAAATATCTCGCGCATGCAACGAACAACATAGCGCATACCTCGATTAGCATAAAAAAAGAACAGGCATGGAATAATTTGAATCGCTTGATCTTCTTCCTCTGTGCGCTCGGGTGCGCGACGATGCGAAATGGCAGTGCGCACGTGGAGGAAATAATTGATATCTTGGCTGCTGTGGTTACTGTCAACCGCTCCGCGCTTAAGGAGTATTTCACGCTCATCGAAACTGTGATTTAAGTGGCAACAAACGTAATACGGAATGGTCGCGGTGTTTCACGCCTTCCGGTTTGCGAGCGGACAGACAGACAGGTAGACGTTTCCGAAGATGATTTGTCGCCTCCGATACCGTTGTCGGCCGTTTTACTCTGCCAGCTGTTTAGGCGACCGTGATTATCCTCAAGGACACCGTAGGTTCTTAAACACCATAATTATGCCCACGTGATGACCCATCCTTCCGAGATTTCCGGAAACGCGGTGGTGCGACTTTAGGGGCGTTGTTGATATACAGGGTGTTCCTAAAACAGGTGAACAAAAAATTTCAGTATCGTATTTTGCACCCTCTAAGGGTGAGGAAAGGTCATATAAATTCTTCGTTTTCGAGGTAGATACTTATTTTTTAAACAGGTATGAACTTTTAAAGTACGATATCTGTACCGCGCAATTACAAACGTATTATTACTGTTAGTTCTTCCACGGAAAATGTCATCCGATTGTGTTTCAAGGTACAAGCCACAGGCGTGGTAGAAATTTTTGTTTAATTTGAGTATCGATAACAGTGACTCGCATTAATATTCGGACACGATATCGTTGCAAGGATTATTGCACCTTTTTATTGTTTATGATAGTATTATTGAATGAATTGTTTTCTCATATAATAAAGCTCTTCTTAAAGTAAGTAGAAACATAAATTTTGTTTATTTATTGCACATGTTCTTTTGTATAATAAGCGATAAACAAGATTGCGACAAAATTTAACGTCGCAAAAATATTCGGACAGCGAATGAATTACATTAATTTTATATAAAATGAAAATCTTTTTACTCGTGTTATCATAATATTAATATTTTGTCGGTTGACCCTTTTGTTTTATTACTTCGTGCAATCGCTTGGGCATGTTACAGATGATTTTATTTAAATATTCCGGCGAAATCCGTTTCTATTCGTCTAACAAACGTTGTTTTGTCTCTGTTGTTGTCTTTGTAGGTGTTGTACGAATTTTGCGGTCCAATCGATCCCATGAATTTTCAATTGGATTTAAATCAGGCGATCGAGGAGGAGGATGCAGTACTTTTGGACAATTGTATAATAAATATCCCTGTACAATTCTGGCCTTGTATTTAAGATCATTGTCCTGATAAAACTTAAAACTGTACGTATACCCATATTTATAGCACTTGTAATTAAATTTTTTTTTTTAAATGTCCAAATACTTCATTTTGTCCATAATACCAACGATAAAAACTAGTTCACCTACACCTACAGACGAGATATAACCCCACACTATTACATTCCTACCACCGTGTTTCACTCTGTCGGTCTTAAATTTGCAAAAGAATATTTTTACAAAGACAACTGGTGGTGGAATGATGTAATATTTTCGGATGAAAGCAAATTTAATCTTTACGGATCCGACAGTCAAAAAATGGTGTGGCGTAAAGTAAATACAGAATTAAACATTTATAGTTATAGTGGGATCTCCTCTGTAAACTTGTAACAATATCGTGTCCGATTATTAATGCGAGTCTAGTCACTGCACGACCAGATTACTCGAGTAAAACATGCAAAAAATAAATGTTTCCTTATTATTACGTAAAAGTTATTTTATGTTCTATTGACCATTCATTCATTGTGTATAATTGTCTATTACTTGTGGTCGAGTGGAAAAGTATATAACGTTTATTTAAAAAACGGTCATTTGTCTGCTTTCCGTAGAAACAGGTATGTGTTTAACAGTGTCGTTAGATTTGTTGCTAAATATCGTTGAACAAATTTGCAAAATTTTTGAAATGACAATTCCAACAGTTTTAATTAAATCCCCGAAAATTAATGTCGTTCAGGGAGAAGTTCCAAGACAAGAAGTTAAAAAATTAATATTTTGACTAAAAATTAACGATACGCGATGTACGAAGCAACCCTCTGCAAGGTAAGAACGTACCAAACGTTGCACTAAGAATACCCCCACGCACCAAACGGAGTGGGGGTAGCTACCCCTGCGACTATATAATGAGGGCCGTCAGGGTTGATTAGTACATTTGCGGCAAACAGTTAGTGAAGTGTACGTCGGTTCACTCATTATCTGTGACTGAGAAAGGCACGGCTCGGTCGAACGGCAAAATGACGGAGACAATCTAACGACTTTATTTATGAACGCGCGTTTAATATCGAGCTGTTCGTAGTTCAACAAATAGAATTCAAAGTTGTGTTTAGCTAGCTCGTTGCTTTTATCTATTTTTTTAAGTCTTCGTTGTTAAAGTTTTATGAAAATGTCTGCGTCGACGGTGTGGATTAAGGATAATATGCTGCTCTATGACCAATGTGTAAGTGTTTGTTTAAGTATTGCTCGAAACAAATGGCAAAATTTGTTCAGCAACGCTGAACATAAAACGTGTCAGATAATCAAGTATTCGGATTTCTGGAACGAAGCATACTCTCTTCATAGATTGTTCGTATCGTCGTTTCTACGTGGATCATCGATTTGGACGTAATTTCTGTTTCTTTGAATAACGTTCATCTACTGATAGTTATGATCAGCAAAGTGTGGTTGCGGCTATTAAGCAAATTAATTCCGTAATTCGTAGATACACGTAAATCGAAATTGCTGGACTGTTTACTTGTGGTGGAACTCCGCGAGCACGCGCATAAAAACGTGCTCGCAGGGTTCAACGTGTTCGCGAGTTAAGTGATAAAAAAACAAACACGACGACAATGTTACTGTTCTCGTGGACAGTGTTTCGGTAAATTGTTTAGAATAACGACCACCTCGCCAACTGTTTTACGCCTTTGCTCTATCGTGCGCGTGGATCGAGAATCTGCAAGGAAAAATTGTCTCGCCCTCTCTTTTCGTTTTCGCGACATAAAAGTTTATACATATTTGTATATTGGTTCGGCGAGAGTGTCAATGTACGAGTGGCACGGTACCGGCTTTTAACCTTGACACTTTGAACAATGTTTATCTATACATTTAACTGCCGCTCGGCCTTAGTTTTCGCGACATTATAGTAAGAAGCTGGCACGGTGTAACAGCTTGATTAATTCAAATGAAAGAAGGCAATAGACAACACCTGGCACGGCAGAGCTCGCCGAGTTCAGCGTGGAAGTATTCTTCCAATTAGGATTCTTCCAAGATGATGGGCGACATTCGGTCGGAGTGTTGTTTAACATTTTCGGTGGGCTCGACCGTTTGTTCGGCTACCAGTTCGGAATCGAGAGGTTCTTTATCGTCTCTGAACCTTCTGTTCAGCTTCCGTTAACTGCCTCTCCTGTAAAAAGAACCATAATATAAATTTTTACGTCTGAGAAAACGAGAAGGGTGCGACAATTTTTCGTTCAAGATTCTTAATCCACGCATCGGACAATACGATATAGCAAAGGCAAAAGGATAAGACAAAATTGCCGAGTAGGACGTTATTCTAAACAATTACCGGTGTTTCGGTAAAAAGGAATTACGGCTAATCTACTTGGACAGAATCGTCCGATCAATTAATTTCCATCTAAATGTGCCAAAGTCCAGGTTTTTGTATCGCTTATGTTTATTTCTTTTTATCGCTTTTGTTTTGAATTTTTCCCCGAGATTATCTTCATCATTTTCAACGAAGAACCTCTTCTAACAACATTTTCTTTTCACAGGAGAGGCAGTTGACCGAAGCTGAACAGAAGGTTCAGAGGTCAATAAAGAACCTCTCGATTCCCGATTGGTACATGAAGAAGCGCACGAGTCCACCAAAAATTTTAAACAATATTCCGATCGAATGTCGTCCGCCATCATGGAAGAATCCTAACTGGAAGAATACTTCCACGGCGAGCTCTACTACATCAGGTGTTTATATTGCCTTCTTTCATTTCAATCAATAAAGCTATTGTACACTTTCATAACGATTCTGTAATTTGTTCGAACTTTTGTTATTTTTTATAACCGAAACTATGAGCCGAAACATCTGAAAAATTCGAAGGCTTTCGTTGATACAGCGTCGCATCGCTGTTGTTCGCATCATTTCTATAGAAATTTCGTATATTTCAAACGTTCTCGCGTCTTCCATCTTTTATCGCCGAGAGCCGAAATTTTCGATCAGGGAATTGTACGAACTTCCATAATGCTAAACGAGCTTTCAACGATCAGTTACAGATACACTGCCGTTGCCAAAATCGCCTAAAGAATCAGCGCCCAATAGTTCGACCACAGGCACCTACAAAGTCGCGCATCATCAAACGTCCCCGAAGAAATCGAAAGACGGAGTCGAATCCGAACCAAAAGTATCCGGAAAGCTTGAAGACACGAAGATCCCAGAGGTGAAGCTGAGAGAGATCAGCAAGACGTTCCCAAAAATGTCGCCGTCCCGAAAAATTCAGAATATAAACATCGTTTTTCCACGGAGACCTTTGAAGGTGTCGAACGAATCCGACGTGAAACCAGAAGAGGACAAGACTCCAATTTCCAAGTACGACACGTTCCAAGTAAAACGGACCGGCGACGAGAACAAAATGACGGAGGACTGCGAGAAAACTCCGGAGAAGACGAACTCGCCGAAGAAGCAGGGAACAGACAGTCTAGCTGCCGCGATGATCGCCTGCACCCCGAGGACACCCAACGTAACTTCTACGTTCCCGGTCCGCGCAACTTCCACACCGAAATTCGCAGCAGCCGTCGATCTGTCCTCGTCGGCGATCTTCGAAGAGGCTCTTAAGACGAGGAAAATGCCATCGAAGAACATCCTGGATAAAATAACACTCTTCGAAGACAGCTGGAGCAACGCTAGCACGCTAAGCGAGAAAGGCTCGAAGAGCACGAGCGAGGAGACTTCTCACGACAGTTGGAACAAAGACGCGTCGTCGGGCAGCTACACGGAGACGCTAAAACCCAGCCAGAGACTGAAAAATTTGCTGGAGAAGAACATCCGATCCGTCGATCCCACCATTCTCGACACAGTAGACTCGGCTAACTCGTCGATCTCGGTTAAGCAAATCGTGAAGAATGTAGAGTCCTTCAGGACCGATCAGGACACTTCTGCGAAGCGATCCGCTCTCGAAAGGAACAAATCGAAGCAGACGAGCGAGCCGAAGATATTTTCGAAGATGCCGGTCCAGCAGAGGAACGATGCTAAAGCTGAGACGAAGAAGAACTTGGAGACCCCGGTGACCAAGTTTCCGAGGATGCCGGTCCAGCAGAGGAACGATGCTAAAGCTGAGACGAAGAAGAACTTGGAGACCCCGGTGACCAAGTTTCCGAGGATGCCGGTCCAGCAGAGAAACGACGCTAAAGCTGAGACGAAGAAGAACTGGGAGACGCCGGTGACCAAGTTTCCGAGGATGCCGGTCCAGCAGAGAAACGATGCTAAAGCTGAGACGAAGAAGAACTTGGAGACCCTGATAGCCAAGTTTTCGGAGAAGCCGGTTCAGCAGAGGAACGATGCTAAAGCTGAGACGAAGAAGAACTTGGAGACCCTGATAGCCAAGTTTTCGGAGAAGCCGGTTCAGCAGAGGAACGACATTAAAGCTGAGATGAAGAAGAACTTGGCGTCTCCGATAGCCAAGTTTTCGGAGAAGCCGATTCAGCAGAGAAACGACGCTAAAGCTGAGATGAAGAAGAACTTGGAGACGCCGGTAATGAAGTTCTTGACCACGAGGAGAAAATCAACGGAGTTGGAGAACGTTGTGAGGAGTAGCACGGTCCCCAGGGTGAAGAGCGTTGTTCGAGATATCATCGAAACTCTGGCAGAGAAAACTGCCAGCCAATATTCGCTACCGCGGCAGAACCGGGTCGACGGAATGCATCAGAGCTTCGTGAGAAGCGTGGTGAACACACTGGAGAAACGAAGCAAGTCGGTACTCGACGAAACGATTCGTTGCACCCAAAACGAAGAGGATCTGGGAAGCCGAATTGGAAGCGGAATTGGAAGCGGAATTGGAAGCGGAGTTGGAAGCGGTAGTGGAAGCGGGAGCGGATACGAGTCCGAGGTGAAGTCTTGCACGACCTCCGTGTCCCCGAAGGACACCGACAGCAGCAGCGACACCGATCAAAAGTCTCCAACGCCGGAGAACGACGACAGCCACAGGACCACCGACTTCGATAGCACTTTGGGCAACAACATGAACACGCAGCTCAACGAACCCCAGGACGAGGACTCCGTTTACTGGATCCCCGTGTCAAGATGCAAACTGCCCAGATCGAGCTCGCTGCTGAGCATCATGTCGAAGCTGTCGGCTAACACGGTTCAGTTACCGAGTGTCAGCCCCATCAAGAGCGACAGCGAGCCGGAGAATGTTCAGTTTCCTTGGAACGCGACCTACAGGAGTACCCGACCTTTGACCAAGAAGCTGTTCCGGATCGACGAGACCGCCGTCATCGATTCTGGCTACTCGGATAAGTCCACTAGATCTGTTGTCGGTTCCTCGGTGGCTGATAGCACTTGGTCCGAGGACACGAAGAATGATAGTAGCGCCGAGGTTGGTAGCAACAGAGGCACGAGGACGTCTGCCAAGAAGCCTGTCATTGGAATTAGCTTCCGCGTGCAATATTAAGGCTTCTGACGGGACTGCCCTCTGGGAGGATATATCGTTTGTTCTCGTTCAAGTAGAGCTTTATTTTTTAAAACTGTATATAATTAAGAGAGCGAGAGAGCGAGAAAGAGAGAGCGAGAGAGCGAAAGAGAGCGAGAAAGAGGGCGAGAAAGAGAGAGAGAGAGAGAGCGAGCGAGAGCGAGCGAGAGAGAGAGAGAGAGAGAGGGAGAGCAGTCTCCGTTCTTCGATTGCCAGATTTTGTGATTCACTTGTGATATCGTTCTAAGACACGTTTTGGGTTTCATCGATGAACGGACCGCTGATTTAAATTAATGTTAATGTTTTAATAGGCGAAGATGGCTCAAATCGTCGTTTAAATTCGACAACCAGAAACGCAATTATCTATATATAAATAAGAAATTATCAAATAACAATTATCTATAGATCTAGAAAATAAAACTCTACTTGAACTCGACAAACGATACATTGGTATCTAAAGTGTTGATAAAGGCAATGTTGAATTTAAACGACGAGTGAAGCCATCTTCGTCGTTCGAAAATATGTGTACATACGTGTTCAACGAAACGCGATATTTGTCGATAGTCGTTCATGCTTGTCTGACAGCTATTTAGTGATAAATAGACACGCTCAGGAACGCATAATTATGAAAGCTTGCAAGAGCGGTGTCTCTCTTTCATTTGATCACTTTCTTTGTAAGAGGAGAGGAACATATTATATAATTTGTCCATAAAATTCACGTTTATCTATTAGCAGCAGGCCGAAGATTTTGCGCATTTATGATATTCTCTGGTTGGCGAAGATTTGCTCCCCGTTCTGATTTTAATAAAATTACATGGATCGCGTGTCGAATAGGAATTCATTTCTTCAAATCTGTCCATCGTAAATGCATCACGAATAATCATCACAAATATCCGCGGTGTATGTGTCATTGTTTTGTCCAAGATTTTATTTGACTTCTATTTCAAAGTTGTAATGGCTGGCGGAAACCGCGCGATCACCATTAGCGTGGCCATTGGGAAGTCAATAGGCGCTCGAAAGAAGCTTTCACTTTTTCTCGGAGCGTTGAAAATTCGTTTTATATCGTGAAAATGTCTCGCGTGTAATTTCGTTACTAGCGACTCCGTGATGCCTCTCTTCCGAACACAGAGCAACAGGTACGAAATTCGTCGTTCAATTTATAATGAATGAAAAATGATTTTATCGTTGACATATTTTCTGAACAGTGGATAATAATGCGCCGCAAAACCGGTGGAAAGTTTTGCGCGCGTGTGTTTGTAAAGCGATATACTTTGTAGTTATCCGAAGCTTCATTGCGATCATTAGTTGATGCGTGCGCGAGAACCGTGCGCTTCCGATTTTTAAACATCCAAGTTGTCCAAGAACAAGACAAGAATAAAGAACATATTTCTTGACCTTGAATGATACGTTGCTTTCTTGTTCCACCGATGATAAAACAAATAACAGATCCATATAAATAAGCGTGATTTATTTACATCAAGTATTTACTGGTTTCTAGAAAAGAATTTCGATATTCGGATAGATACGAGTCGATTAATTTGTTGGTTTTTATAGTGAGGGAGAATCTTCAACGAGATCCCCGGGAACGGCTGACCGAGTCTCGAGGAACGTAGGGATCTTATCCACTAAAAAAACTCTCGGAACTGTTGATCACGTTATTTCAGGGATGAGTCGATTAATAGAGTTATTTAAACGGTTTATCACGGAATAATATTTTTCATTGAAAGATTACATCGGTTCTATTTCTGCGGGCTGTGTCAACAGATCCTTGTCTCTGCAACGGGCAATCAAGCGTAGCGAACAGATGTTTAACAATCGTGCCGCGCGTCGAATTGTCACTCAACCGAAGAAATTCCCGACTCGATTCGATGAATTAATCGTAGCTCGTTTCGCATGCTTGCAAGCGAAAAGTTTAGGTGGACGCAAAACCAGCGACTCGAATCACAAAGGCTGTGCATCGGAAAGATGACACGTTGACGAATGTTTAACACGTGCACAATTATAATTTAGTATAAGAAAAGAAAGGATATGACAGTATACAGGATGTCCCATAATTATGGTACTTCCGGGAAATTAGAGATTCCTGAAGTTATTCGAAACAACTTTTTCCTTTACAAAAATTTTCCCCGAGGCATCGTTAACGAATTATTAATGAAAAACACCGACCAATGAGAGGCGAGCTCGGCTGGCGTGAGGCGGCTCAGCCAACGAGCGCACGAAGCCCGAGTTCCGCCCATTGGCTCGGCCACCTAGAGGCGAGCTCGCGCCTCATTGGTAATGACAAACTTTAGAGATTTCTTCGTGGGAAATGATTGAATAAATTACGTTATTGGAGCGAGTTTTATAACTAGGACCTTACAAAATTTAAATGAATTCTATCTTTTCACACTTATAAGTCAGTGCATACCCGTCACCGTTACTTCTCGGTAGGTCCAGTGTTAAACAAAATATGAAGAAAATCAAATATGTGTGTCCCAAAATTATAGTATTTTCGGGAAATGAGGGGTTTCTGAGGTCATTTGAAGTAAGTTTTTCCTTTGCGAAAGGAAAGGAAAACGAGTTATTAACGAAAAACACTGACCAATGAGATGCGAGCTCGCCCAGCACCAGGCGGCCGAGCCAATCAGCGGAACTCGGCTTCCACCGCTCGTTGGCTCGGCCCGCCTTGCGCCAGCCGTGCTGGCATCTCATTGGTCACTGTTTTTCGTTAATGACTCGTTAACGAAGTTGCGAATCGCATTTGCCCTAAGGAAGAAGTTACTTCTAATCACCTTAGGAACCCCTAATTTCCCGGAAATACGATAATTTTGAGACATCCTGTACATACCAACATGAAATAAAATACGTGACCTCCGAAACGGTAAAATTGGTTCGTGGCCAAACAGTTCCCGATTTTGCTTCGAAACTCGAAAAAAAGGATTAATCCGCTTCTCAGCTGCTATGTACACCGACGGTCCGACCTCTACGATATTTATCGCTCGACGGAGAATCAGTACAACTCTGTGAAACGGTCAGAAACGTTGCAGCGAATGTGTATACTATTAGCAATCGAAATTGGAATGAAACTAACAGTCGAACTGATTTAATTTCGTTCAGAGATCAGAGTCGATAAGAAACATGGCACTCCGTTCAGTGAATCGTCGTTTCAAATCAACGTCGGACATCTTCGACGAAGCGGTGAGCAACGAAATGTCGGATGGGGCGCAGGGTAATCCGAAGAATCGCTTCAGCACCTACACGTTCAAAGACCTTCAACAGGAAAGGCGGAAGTTCGTTAAGAAACGCGAGCCGAAGAAGTCTCAGAATTTTCTGAGGAGACTCCTCGCCTCTTTGGACAAGAAAAACGAAGCCTGTAAAGCGGACGACGAATTTGTCACCGAATATTACAGGAGAAATGACTATTCGAACCCGAATTCTGACTATTTAGACGCAACGCTGCAGAATTTCGAAGAAACGAACGAAAGTTCTCGACTTCTCGGAGCAAGATCTTTTCGGACCTTCACGATCGATCGGTGCAGACCCGATTTGGTTTCCAAAAGACAGTCGACTAATGCTGCGGATCACAGGGAAATTAGGACATTTTCGAGCGAAGACTTGAAAATGATCAAGAACAGTGCGGATTATGCAAAATCGCGACGATTTAGGAGGAACTCGAACGATTTGAGCCGATGCACTTTGGAGAGAATATTTACGAATGGTAAAGATGAGGAGAGAATCGAGCCGAAGAACGAGAAAGCGAAGCCCAGTCGAAAAAGGTCGTTGATAGATTTTTTGGGATTCATGATAAGATGGAGGAGATCGGACGAAAAGGAGAAACCACGATGTTTCGTGTCCTGTAATCGTTTGGTCAGTCAGACGAATAGTTTCTATTCGGAAAATGTTATGCAAATGTCCAGAACTTCTTCTGTCGACGCTATAGTGCCCGAGAAATGCGAGGAACCAACCATAATGCAGGTGAAGTATGCAAGTCGAAAGGTGGTTTTCGGAATGATCTAAAATATTTCAAAAATTGATGAAATAGGGATGGAATAATTTTATCGTTTGAATATTTTTATTCTCGAGAAAATTATATTTTCTGTAGGTAGGGAATGGTCTAAAATATTTCAAAAAATTGATGAAATAGGGATGGAATATTTTTATCGTTTGAATATTTTTATTCTCGAGAAAATTATATTTTCTGTGGGTAGGGAATGATCTAAAATATTTCAAAAAATTGATGAAATAGGGATGGAATATTTTTATCGTTTGAATATTTTTATTCTCGAGAAAATATTTTCTGTGGGTAAGGAATGATCTAAAATATTTCAAAAAATTGATGAAATAGGGATGGAATATTTTTATCGTTTGAATATTTTTATTCTCGAGTGCATTTTCTTAATAAAATAAGGATAAGCAATGATTTAATACGGTGTTCGTTTTGTAGATTGGTAAGCAGAATGCGAGGATGCGACATATTTACAATGAGAAAACGCACGAACAACTTGTGGAGGTTCTCACGAAGAATAAGGAGAACCAACAGATTCTTCCAAGGAATAGAAGCGTGGAATACTTCGTCAAGCCTTCCGCAATTAAGGACATAGCGAAACGTCATCAGCAACTTCCGGAAAACTGGCAGCCTGACAGGAGAATAACAGCCCGTTGGAAATGATTATTAACGAAAGGAGAACGCTGCTGGAACGAGAACTGTTATTAGTAGACCGTGGATTCTATGAATCCGTATTGACTGGAACACGTAGTGCATGTAGACGTAGACGTGGTAAAAAGGTCGAGAGAATGTAACATGGTATTCGCTTTGTTTCGGTCCCGATTGTTTAATCGCGACTCCCGAAATGTAGTCCCGGACTACCGAAATGTGTTTCTAATCTTGAATTCGTCCATCGTAACTTACATTTGTACAGCTAATGAAGGAATTGTGTACACAAATTAATTCAATATCTGTTTTCATTATAAATTAAACCTATATTAGACGGTATAAACGAACATTTATTTCGCAAATCCTACATTCTCCATTTTCATCTTTATTAACACTTTGATGAAAGTACAGTAATGTAACGGCTGAAAGTATATTCTGAGGATACAGAAATGTGTAGAGGACTCTACTTTAAAAATTGAATTATTATTGCAAATATCGAGAACAGATAATTCTTACCACTTTTGCTGTTAGAATCAATGCTAAATTCAGCACGAATCGTCCGCTTTCTGGCGAAATTGAGAAGTTCCGTTAAGGGTCCATGCAGCGCCAATTAGTATGTGGCAAAATGCTGAAACTGCTGGCCAAAGTTAGTTCCGAATTCTAACATTGATGGCGCCACCATACAAGCGCCACCGCGATTGGGTCTTGTATGGGGACGCCATCCGTATCAGATGTTTGAACTATCTTTGGTCAGCAGTTTCAGCGTTTTGCCATGGTGTAATTGGCGCTGTACGGACCCCTAAGGAGCTTCCAGTTTTCACCGTGAGAGGCACCGCTATCGCCAAAATCATGTTATTCCTTGTGTACACATTGCAGGATCGGCGAAATTAATCATAACATAATTAAGGCAACGAGAAAGTTAACCATGGGCATCGAACTGTCCAGGAGAATCTGCGGCATTAATATAGTGTGACAAATACAGATGACAACACCGCTAAACAATTATTTAACCCCTTAACGTGCACGCTCGAGTTAACACTCGAGATAATTCAAGCGGCGTTGTACTTTATGTTGCTATAATTTTTCACACTCGAATGCAATCGAGACTTGAAAATAACAATGCGAAAGCAAAAAGAAAACATTTACATGGGATTGTAAGCTATATAACACTTACTTATTCAAGTATAAAATATATCCTTTTTCTACTTATCGCTTACGACTTACCTCTTCCTTGTGAGCCGCTTTCCGACAGGGTATTCATATTCAGATTCTGATTTTTCAATATATATTTTTCTAAAATATAATGTAAAATAAAATATAATAATAATAATAACAACAATAATAATAATAGTAAAATCCAAAATTGCAATAAAAATTTTGATTATTTTTGTATTATTGTAATTTTCTTGCCAAGACAACGTTCTAAATTGTGTTCTTTTACATTTAAAAAATTTGATTTCTTTTGGCCGGCCTTTTTAAAAAAAACTGTGCATTAAGGGGTTAACATAATAGTTGATCAGGCTTCAAAAACCAGTAAATTGCGTTCCGCAGCGTTGTCATTTGTATTTATCAATGATATCGATGCAGCAGATTCTCCTGACCAATCCTATACCCTTGATTTGCTTTCTTATGCTCCAATTTCCGCGTAATTAATTTATTTTCAAGGACTTTGTTAGTTCGGCGACTGTCACCACGTGGATGATAGTGCTCTACGATCCATATGAACCATAATTAGCGATAAAAACGCATAATTATGCCTAATTACATCTATGGTTAGAAATTGATGCGTAGCACCACCACAAACGTGTTAAGTCCAATAACATTAATTTCGAACTCTCTTGGTTACTTATAGATTTCTTTATTTATTTACAAAGTTACTTAGATTTTAGTTTCTTCCAGGAGGCTGGCGAGGACATCTCTGTCTCTCCGTGCTTTCAGATTATTCTTCAATTATTCTCGCCACTGATAATACAAATCTAAATTAGATTGTAGGTTCTTTTTACAGACCGTCTTGTCAGCTGTATCGTCAACGCAACCAAATAAATACAGATGCCAGCATTTCGTTTTACATTGTTTCGACATTCGTATGATTCATTCATTTGTTACAATACATTTGGAAATTTCGCATCTCGTATATTTGTGGCGTGTGTGCTTAAGTTATCTCTGAATACATAAATTACATTATACCTATGTATTTATGATATTCCTTTTTAATGTAAATGCACCGCTCTGTCTATATATGCAATTACATAAGGAGAAGCTCGTGTGCTTAGCGCGCGCTTGTTCAGTAATCCTGTTCCAAGATTAATGTTTCATTACTTGAAATAACGTTGCCTAGAAAAAAATATAGCCTGAACTAAGTTAACATTTCCTTGTGAACATGTATTATGAACAACAGAGCTTTATAGCCCGCGCAATAAACAACAAGCAAATAAATATTGTTTTCTTCTCTAATGGGAACGATATTTCTTCTACACATGATACATTGCAACGCAAACGCAGAGAAGCAAAAAATGAGAATCGGAAAATTCAGAAGATTGTTATTACCAAGCAACAGCCTTTTAAAACATTCACCAAATGTCAAGGTTTTATTATTAAAGAAATATCGAATATCCATCGGTAAACACAGTCTGGTCTTCGAAGATAAATAATAATTATGGTAATTTGAACAGTATTTCAAAAATATCTTTCACTCGTTATGGCAATCGTAAATCGAACATCTGCGACAAACATGCCAATGAATGCATTATCATATCCCCCCCACTCCATTGCAAAATTACCAATAGCGGGACTATATAATTTCCAGATCGGCTCGATTCAATTATTATACCGATACACGTTTCAACAATGTGGAAATCGTTCGTTTTCGCAGGCTTCGCCTTCGCTCTCACCCTCGTCAAAGGTATAGTTGAACTCCTTTCTCGCTTCGTCTACGAGTCTGCGTTACGATATTCGTAGAAAGGACTGTACATACAATAATGTCTCTTTAATTGACGCCCAGATCGACCACAAAAATGGACAATTTTGGAAAAGGAGATACGCTTCGAGCCTCGTGGCTCGTTTTTTTATGGTTATCGATTGTCAACAACTATAAAAACGAGTTGCAAGGCTCGAATAATCGTATCTCCTCTTCCCGAAGCGTCCATTTTTGTGCAGAATGACAGCGTCAATTAGGGAGAGTTCACTGTACAGTAATGTCTCTTTAATTGACGCCCAAATCGACCACAAAAATGGACAATTTTGGAAAAGGAGATAGGCTTCGAGCCTTGTGGCTCGTTTTTTATGGTTATCGATTGTCAACAACTATAAAAACGAGTTGCAATGCTCGAATAATCGTATCTCCTCTTCCCAAATTGTCCATTTTTCTGCACAATTTGAGAGTCAGTAAGGGAGACATTACTGTACAGTAATGTCTCTCTAATCGACGCCCAGATCGACCACAAAAATGGACAATTTGGGAAGAGGAGATACGATTATTCAAGCCTTGCGGTTTATTTTTATAGTTATAAATTGTCCACAATTATAAAAACGAGCCGCAAGGCTCGAATAATCGTATCCCCTCTTCCCACATTATCCATTTTAGTGGACCATCTGAGCGTCAGTAAGGGAGACATTACTGTATTCGGTGAAGGGTTTACTAGTAGATGAAGAAGGCTACGGGTTTGTAGTAGTTCTAAAGCGTTGCATGTGTATAATATTTACTGATTTCAGGTGACAAACAATGCGTACCCTATACAGTGGATAACGAATTACTGGCGTGCGTTTGCAATGCAACTTATTGCGACGATTCGCTGAATCTTGAATCGCTTTTCCTAAACAGAGATAACTTTTTCCAATATGAAACGAACAAGGCTGGGCTCAGGATGCAGTTGTCGGAGGGTACATTCAGCAGCTCTTCCGATGTACCTACGAACGTGACTTTGACGATAAATAGACAGAAAATGTATCAAAAGATTCTTGGCTTCGGCGGTGCGTTCACCGATTCGACCGGTATAAACATGAAGAAGCTCAGCCCGGCTACGCAGATGCAACTGATGAGGTATACAATACGCAGAAAATCCTCATGAAATGTCTCGAATGTTGTCATAATTTCTCGTTCAATTGGAGCTCGCACCTTGTGCGGTCCAATTTGGGAGCAAATTGGACAACGGGAATTTATCGCAGCTATAACAGAAAATTGATTAGACGTTTACGATTATCTGAGCGTTTTATTTAATGCGCTCTCAATGATAGCACTCGCATGGAATAAATTTACCATGTCATGGAACAAAGTTACCATTTGCGGTCTGCAAGTGCGAGCGTTCGAATTTCGAATGCTTCCGCGTCGACGCATGCTCGAGGACCGAATTCACTTTACATTCGATTCGTGATACGTTCAAATTCGATTGTTCGCAGGGCATACTTCGATCCGCTAGTTGGAAGCAAATACAACCTGGCTCGGTTTCCAATTGGTGGCACCGACTTCTCGGTGAGACCTTACTCGTTGGACGACGTAGCCAACGATACATCGTTGGAGCATTTCTCCCTCGCGCCAGAGGATCTCAATTTCAAAATACCATACGCGAATATAGCTCGCGAATTAAATCCTTTCACGAAATTCTTTGCGTCCGCGTGGTCCGCTCCTGGCTGGATGAAAACCAACGGGGATTTCGCATCTTTCGGTAAACATTTGCTCCAACAGTTTCATTCATCCGTAAAATAACACTGCAATTAATTTTCCAATAGCGAGTTAACTTCAGTTTTTCTACTAGACCAAAGTTAATTATAGTTATCCGTGTACGTTATACGTTCAGGGTACTTGAAGAAGGAGTACTATCAGGTTTACGCGGACTATCTGGCTAAGTTTGCCGATGCATATAAGATGCACGACCTGGACATATGGGCGATTACGACAGGCAACGAACCGACGATCAACTCCCATATCAATTCCTCGAAAGTAATCTCTATGGGCTGGACACCCGAAAGCATGGCTGACTGGGTCGCCGAGAATCTGGGGCCGACTTTGGCTGCATCGGCCAGCCATAAGACGCGCGTCTTGGCCCTCGACGACGACAGAGATTTACTGCCACGTTGGGTCGAGCCGTTGTATAACAATGAAACAGCGTCGCAGTACACCGTAGGCACCGCCGTGCATTGGTACTTCGGCTTTCTAGCCCCCATTACGGTGCTGGACGAGACCCATGATTTGAATCCCAATAAACTGATTCTCATGACCGAAGCGTCGCAAGGTGAGTCTTCCTTTCGCTTTGAAATTGCTGTCGTTTGCGATCTCCTATCGAATTCTGTATTTAGGCCCGACGTATTGGGGAAGATCGACTCTCGTGTCGGACATGTGGACCCTCGGGGAAGAGTACATCTTGAGTATAATCGAGGTGAGAACAGTTTTCGTTCGCGGTCGGAGGAAACAGCAATCGGGGTGACGACCGTAACTCGTGCGATTTCAGCATTTGAATAATTGGGCGGTCGGCTGGGTGGACTGGAACTTGGTGTTGGATCAAGCTGGTGGACCAACTTGGATCAACAATACTCTGAACGCAGGCATCGTCGTGAATCCGGAAAGCGATGAATTCTTCAAGCTGTCGATGTATTATGCCATCGCGCATTTCAGCAAGTTCGTCGACAGAGATTCCGTCAGGATTAATATCACCGACACCGACACCGTCAAATCTTCGGCCTTCGTAACGCCGACGGACGAAGTCGTCGTTGTACTCTATAACAAGTAACTGAATTCTTACCGAATTATTGTTGGACACATTGTTCCACAGATTGCAGTTTATCGCGGTGATCTGATTGATTTTTCGTCTCGTTGCAGAGCGTCCGAGCCCACTACCGTGACACTGCAGGACGCAGAGAGGGGTCTGGTGCAGGTGGGCTTGTCTCCGCTTTCTATGAACACCATAATATACAAGCAATAATTCTGGGTAGACTGCGAATTTCATGAACTTATCACAACAACGACAAACACTGAAAAGAAAACAAAACAAAAAAATTAAAGGGTATCAAACTTTATGTTTCATAAGGATTCGCAGTTAAATCATGTATATCAGATTTCCTATGGGTACATATACGTATTCTCGCTGAATTGTATTGTTCTGCGATAAAAATAAATGTGCACTGTTCGACAATGCAAGATTGAAGTTGCTTATCGACCTTCGAAACGATACACTGAACCGGAACAGATTATGGTTCCTTTTAACTATGGACCTGGCGCGTGGTCTACCATCGTAGACCACGCACGTTTGCCGTGTCATAGTTTCCTCTGTGCATTTTTTTTGTACACGCGCTTCCTAATAGCCGTTAAATAGGTTGCACTCGATACTGTTAGCGTGTCATTGACTGTAGAGACCGCGCGACCGAGAACACGTGCGGTAAAAGCACTGCTATGCATAGGAACGCACGCCGATAATATCGTAAAGAAGACAAAAGAATGTTTCAATTTGCATAAGGATCATGTATTAAACATTTTCTTCAACGCTAACTCGGAAACTATAAATACATGTAGTCACTTGCTCGCCTTCTGTCAGTTTGTTAGATTCATTCGACTTCGACATAGGGCAACGAATGCCTGAAAGCATGTGGAGAACATTCCTCGTTCTCGGTTTCTTCTCTGTCGCAGGTACTATACGTATGCGTATCGTTACATATTGATTAGGATCGCTAGATGTTAATCTTACCGAGATAGCGTTTCGATCGAATGAACAGCCGCGTGTTTCGTGAGACTTTTTAGAATATTTATTCGGCAATTAACGCGTTGCTCGTTCAACGCATTCGCTGCACTGCGATAGCGTAAACTACTCACAGGATGTCGTTGTTGGATGCGCAGCTTGTGCGAAGGACTGCGTGCCTTATATCGTCGACAACGGTGTACTCGCGTGCGTTTGCAATTCCACATATTGCGACGACACCCCGGATGCTGAGCCAAAGATCCCGGAGAAAGGGAGCTTTTACTGGTACGTCTCGAACAAGGGAGGCGACAGATTGCGGATGTCGAGCGGAAAGTTTAGCCCGGATGAGAACCATTCACCGACCGAGGAACATTTGGTTTTAAACAGGTCGAAAACGTATCAAACGATTCTCGGATTCGGAGGCGCCTTCACCGACTCCGTTGGCATAAACATAAAGAAACTTAGCCCCGCTACTCAGGATCAACTGATACGGTAATTTTTTGACGATGCCATATTCGAGTGTACAAACTATTAGGGTGTCCCATAAGTTCTTTCCGCGTTGGTGACAAAGTTCCTTATAAAAATTTTTCTACGCCGTTCAATATGGATAGCCAAAAGAAGCACACACATTTGCGGCATGTTATGCTTCATTGCTTTAAAAAAAAAATGATAGGGCAAAGGACACTGCAAACGAGATTTGTACCGTTTACGGTGATGGTTCTACGACTATTAGGACAGTCCGCGATTGATTTAAGAGTTTTAGAGCTGGCAATTTCGATTTGAAAGATGAAGACCGCAGCGGCCGTCCAACAACGACGGATGCGGATCTTATCAAAGATATGCTCGCTGATAGCGGATTGCCACTAACATACCCAGGACAACGGTGCATAAGCATTTAGTCAAGATGGGATATGTGAATCGATTCGAAGTTCCACACCGTCAATAGTCCCTCAATCGTTGCGAGGGCCAGGACTTCATCCGAAGAAAGTTCTTTCGTGCATTTAGTGGGACCGGAAAGGTGTGGTCTACTACGAGCTCCTTCCTCAAGTTGAAACGATCAATTCAGTTAAATATTGTAATCAACTCGATGAATTGAAAGCCGCCGTAGCAGAGAAACGGCCGGAATTGGCGAACCGACGCGGCCTCGTTTTCCATCGCGACAACGCGAAATCGCATGTCGCGTTGATCATAAGACAAAAAATTANGGCCGGAATTGGCGAACCGACGCGGCCTCGTTTTCCATCGCGACAACGCGAAATCGCATGTCGCGTTGATCATAAGACAAAAAATTATTGCAGTTCGATTGGGACGTTCTACCTCATCCTCCGTACTCCCCAGACATTGCTCCATCCGATTATTACTTGTTCTTCTCGTTAAAAAAATTCTCTCCGTGAAAAACGGTTTAAATTCGTAAGCGAGATAAAAACGCGCCTTGATCAATATTTTGCAAATAAGCCTCAACAATTTTGGAAAGACGGCATAATGAGGCTTCCTGAAAGATGGAAGAAGGTAATAGAGCAGAACGGTTCATATATAACTCGATAAATCAACTTTAAACAACAAATATCGTGTAATCATTTCGCATCAGAAAAAAGGAAAGAACTTATGGGACACCCTAATATAAACGTATCGATTAGGTACAGTAATGTCTCCCTAATTGACGCTCAGGTTGTCTAGAAAAATGGACAATTTAGGAAGAGGAGATACGATTATTCGAGTCTTGCTCTTCGTTTTTATAGTTACGAATTGTCAACAACTAGAAGAACTCGAATAATCGTATCTCCTCTTCCCAAATATTCCATTTTTGTGTCAGTTAGTCCATTTTTGTCCAATCTTAGCGTCAGTTAGGGAGACATTACTGTGGTAGGTATACCGTGTGAACGATCGCGTACTTAATCAAGTATGGGGTGTATAAGGGGTGACTCGCCCTCAAAACTCCCGGCGTTCTAGACTCTAGAGTGTAGAACTACGAATGAAGTTTACGGACAATTACATGATAGTTTATTGTTTTTAACGCATGCAGCACGTACTACGACCCGAAAGTGGGCAGCAGGTACAATTTAGGTCGCGTGCCGATCGCTGGTACCGACTTCTCTACGAGAGGCTACACCTACGACGAGGACGAGAACGACACTTCGCTGGAACACTTTGCTCTCTCGAAAGAAGATCACGAATACAAGATACCATTCGTGAAGAAAGCTCGCGAATTAAATCCCGACGTAAAACTGGTCGGCGCTGCGTGGACAGCTCCGATATGGATGAAGACTAACAAACAATACAATGGATTTGGTAACGACGGAGGTCATCTTAAAAATGTCGCTATGAGATAAAATCTTCCGGTGCCAACGCGATACGGTAATGTCTCCCTAATTGACGCTCGGATTGTCCACAAAAATGGACAATTTGGGAGGAGGAGCCTTGCGACTTGTTTTTATGGTCACCGATTGTCAACGATTATAAAAACATGGCGCAAAGCCGGGATAATCGTATCTCCTGTTCCCAAATTGTCCATTTTTCTGCACAATCTAAGCGTCAGTTAGGGAGACATTGCTGTATCTGTTTTGCGGGGAAGATTGTACTTTTGGTGACTTTGAATAGGGACTCTTGTCACATCGTTGGAAGAAAGTGACCAAAGTGAATCAACTAATGGCATTCCGTTACAGGTTTCTTGAAGAAAGAATACTATCAGACTTATGCCGACTACATAATAAAATTTCTGGATGCGTACAAAGAGAACGGTCTCGATATATGGGCCGTTTCGACGGGCAACGAGCCGCTGAATGCTTTTAATCCTGGCTTCCCTCTTACCACCATGGGCTGGACCCCCGAAACTCTGACCAATTGGGTTGGCAATTTTATGGGCCCAACGTTGGCGTCGTCGGTGCACAATGAAACACTGATTCTGCTTCTGGATGACAACAGGATCGTGTTGCCTTGGTTCGTCACGCCGACGTTTGCGGACGAGAAGGCGTCGAAGTACGCTGCTGGAACCGCTGTGCATTTCTATATGGATTCTGTGATGCCTGCAACGGTGTTGGATTGGGTCCACGATGACTATCCGGATAAAATTATTCTAATGACGGAAGCATCTACAGGTGACGTTTCTCTAGCGCTCGAGAAGCTGAAAAGCTAGTAGTGGCGGCGAAGTCTCAGTTTTCTCTATATCTGTTTAGTACCGAGTTCATGGGGAAGTCCGTGCGTCGTGTCAAAAATATGGAGCAGAGCCGAGACATATGCTTCGAGCATAATCGAGGTAGAGAAATATGAGAACGGAGCAACCGTATTCTTATTATAATTTCTAACGGGAACATCTTTCTTGAAGTACATGAATCACTGGACCGTTGGATGGATGGACTGGAATTTGGTTCTCGACGACAAAGGAGGGCCGAACTGGCTTAACAATACCAACGATGTCGGCGTTATTGTGAACCCGAGCAAGGATGAATTTTACAAAACGGGCATATACTACGCCATCAAACATTTTAGTCGATTCGTTGACAGAAACTCTGTTAGGGTATTGATCACCGATACCGCCATCATTAAGGCTACAGCCTTCGTTACACCGTCGAAAGAAATTGTTGCTGTGCTGTGCAATAGGTAAACAAAAATCCAAAAACTAAATAAGAATGAAATTAATTTCTATTGCACTTTTATTTATGCATTCTAGGAACAAATCGTCGAAGACTGTGATCATAACTGATGTGGACAGAGGTACCATGCGCTTGGAACTATCGCCTAATTCGATTAATACCGTGATATATCAATAAATAACGTTACTATGATACTAATATTATAATAGCAAACAATTCATTTTAAAAAAGAGATCTATTATATAAAGAGCATATTAAATTTACATTTAGTCGGATCGTATAGGCGTATAATGCAGTAGTAGATCATCGAAAAGTTAATATAATTTACCTCGTTGTCAGTATCGAATATAGCATAAAAAGAAATATTACAATCACGACAAGATAATCAACGTATAATAAATGGTTTTATTTGAACTTCAGAAAAACATTTTACGCATCCGGGTAATACGTTTTCGCCCATCGGCCTATTTGTCTCTTACTCGGATTTTCTCGATGGCATCTAGGTATATAAATTGGTTTATGATCGTCCATTCTTCGTTTAAATGGATTATAACCGAACTGCCATGGATCCCGTTTCTTATCCATGGGTCGAGTTTCATGTTGGATTAAATACAATTTGTGCCAATTAGGTATTTCAGGTATTTTGCTGTAAAACAGAAAGAAATTGATAGTTATGCATAATCTATTGTACAACTATCGATATAATTCGTTACGTACAAATGTCTCGATCGATTCGTCATAATATACTTGAATGAATTTTCCAGCCATGTTCTCCGAGCGGTATCTGAAATATCAGCAAGATATTTCACAGATTCTCCCAAATAAGGCTTCATATTTAGATCGGTCCTTTCTTCGGGCGTGTTAATATAAAATTTGATCAACGTTTTTAACACGTCTTCATTGAAACCATGAATTTGTTCGTTCTCCACTGATTCAAATAATTTCATGGGTTTGGTTATCCAGCATATATTGCTCGTAGGATTCTCTTCTATGAATGGTGATTGCAATAATATCGTATTTAATTGATAGGTACAGAATGACCAAGATTGAGCATCCGTTAGAACAGTCTGTGTTACCAGTGGATATGTGAGTTCATTGACTGTAGTAAAACCTAAACTCGTAGTCAATATTTTATTATTTAAATGTGTTCGTTTACTAGGAAATATAAGAAAGTTAATATGTACATAGTAAAGTATACCTTGATAACAAGCCTGAGACAATAACCAGCTGAAAGAGGCAAATATAGCTTGCACTGAGATCACATCCAATGTATCATCAAAAGACGGTTTTCTAAATTCTAGGTTACAGTAATTTTGGTAAGATAGCAACCCAAATTCTGATGGATCACCAGGCCAAAATCCGGGTATATTAGTAGCATGCTTATATTCAAGCCTATACCCTAACATGTAAGGGTCTTGATGAAATTTGGGATACTCAAATTTGAAGTTATTACATTCTCTCTCAGAAAGAATTTCTTTCAACGGTAATCTGTTCCTCAGTTGCAGAATGGGAAAACCATAGTATTGAATGGGAACATCCTTTAGCACTTCAGTTGAATACATTCTGGGTTTTTTCGCTTCTGTATCTTGTTTTGGATCATAACTTTTTCCCCGAAGCCAGAAAGCTTCGATTCTTGGTTCAATATCTACTTCTACCTCCATTAAATGTGGGTACAACAAAGCCAGTGCAGTTAATATTATTCTATTAATTTGATAAATGACTGCATTTGCGGTAGTGCGTAGTTTTGCTTCTGGTTCCTTTTCTATATTATCTTCCCTCCTACATTACAAGCAACTATTTAATTATTACAATCAGCGAGCGAAAGAAATTATGAATGTTACAATAAATAATACTCACAATCTGTTAGAATACTCAAAAATAATTGTATCTTCTATGGGCTTCTTTATGCTTTGTACCAAAACATCTAATTGCTCCGACGTACATAATTTATCATAAAGGTCTGGTAATTTATTGTCATTTACTAGATGGGTTTTTGTAATACATTGAGCATGTTCCAATGAGTTATAAGGGATCCATCCCTCATTCAATAATAAAGAATGCCAACCATAATAATAAGGCATATTTAGTCCAAACAATTTTTCCTCCACGGTTTCTAACTTTCTAATTTTATTGCTCCATTCCTCTTTCTCTCTTCTCTTCACCCCGTTTTTAGAGATATCCAAAATTGGTGGATAAACTGAGTTTTCTGAATGTCTGATCGCTGGGAGAGCATAATTACGTGCGGGATTCTTTATGACAGCGGAAGGATAAATAAATGCGGATTTTCGCAATCCAGCAAACATTCTTCAGAATTAGTAAAAATGTTTAAATAAACACTTGTTTCCACTGTTGAGGTTATAAACCAAGAGGTTATGATCGTGTTACTTTTAGTCTTTTGACAGATTAACTTTATGACATAGCTTATCTATAATATAATGCGATGAATCGTATGAATTTAGAAATGAAACTTAACATTACTCACGTTCAACGCTACGATATAAGTATATAAACATCAGAAATAATTATCATATGTGCAAGCGAGAATAATTCTCACGATAATATGTACCATATGTATACACATATATAGATTGTGCCATGCCGGTAACAACAAGCAAGCAAGATTCGTTTCTTATATAGAAAACAGTTCGTGTAGTGACTTTATCTGTGGAGCAAATCTAATGATATGTAGTTGCACGATTTTTCGCGGTTAGTGTTCGTATCTACAAGTTACATAGATCGACGGAAGAATTGACATATGTATATGTATTGTAAATTGTAAATACATCATGGGAAAATTAAATGTTACAATGTTAAGATATTTAACGCGGGACGATTTCCGTGTTTTAACCGCTGTAAGTATTCTCCTGTAATTAACTATTTAAAATTAATCTCACACCTTAATGTATTGTACATTTAAACTTTATCGAACGCATTTTAATGTAAGGTTATGTTCTCTTATTTTGTATCTTACATTCGATATGGTTTATATTTTATAGATGCCACTTAAATATTCAACTTTTAGACGTTGATGAAAATTTTCATCTTGACTTTAGTTAAGATTTTCTTTGGACTGCAGTCCAATGTATGTGTATTAAGGTTATGTTCCCTTAGTTAATATTTTTCGTTCTAGGTTCTTTAAAGATTAAATGTTTTTCTGTTCGTTATTTTATCTTGGATCCTCTCAATATTGAAGATTGCACTCAAATAATTGACTTTTAAACATCGATAAATTCTTTTAATTTTCGTTAACAACAGTAATGTACATTTCATTTTATTACAGATCGAGATGGGAATGAAAAATCACGAGCTCGTTCCTGCGTCACTGGCAGCTCAAATAGCTAATTTGCGGTATGGAGGAGTTCACAAATTGATGAAGGAATTATGTAAACACAGGCTTCTCAGTTATGAACGTGGCAAACACTGTTCGTATAATTTCAATATTTACATTAGTTACAAAATGATCCTTTCGTGGGAAAAGAAACTGAATGGTAAAAAATAAAATTTAATTACCTTTCTAGATGATGGTTATCGGTTGACAAATTCTGGTTATGATTACTTGGCTTTGAAAGTGTTGGCGCAAAGGGGTGTCGTTGCATCTTTTGGCAACCAAATTGGAGTAGGCAAAGAGTCTAACATCTACATTGTTGCCAACGAAGAAGGAGAATCAGTATGTTTAAAACTACACAGATTAGGAAGAACGTGTTTCCGAAATATTAAAGGCAAAAGAGATTATCACCAGCATAGAAAATCAATGTCATGGTTATACTTGTCGAGAATATCTGCAACAAGAGAATTCGCTTATATGAAAGCTCTCTTCGACAGGGGATTTCCAGTACCGAAACCGATCGATCTCAACAGGCACTGCGTTGTCATGGAATTAGTGGAAGGTGGACCTCTGTAAGAAGAAATTCACTCCCATGCATCACATTTGAAAATTGTTTTTTCCCATTGATTGTGTCTTTTTCCATTTAGCTGCGGTATAAGAGAACTGGAAGACGTCGAATCCCTTTATGACGAATTAATGAATTTAATCGTAAAGCTTGGAAATCACGGAGTTATTCACGGGGATTTCAACGAGTTTAATATTATGATTACAAACAGTGGAAAACCAATTCTCATTGATTTTCCACAAATGATTTCCACCGAGCATGTTGACGCTAAACTCCATTTTGAAAGGGATGTAAATTGTGTGCGAGATTTCTTTAAGAGGCGTTTTGCATACGAGAGCGAGTTGTTTCCAACATTCGACGACATTTCGTAAGCACATCGCAATGGACATCGATAGTAAAAAAGATTTAATTTTGATTTGACGCTGTTATTATTTTATTTAGGAGAGAAGATTGCATAGACGCAGAGATCAAGGCCAGTGGTTTGACGAGACAGATGGAGAAGGACTTGTTAAAGGAAATGGGAATGGTTGAGGAATATGACGAGGAAATTGAATCAACAGAAAACGAATCGGACGACGCGAGTGAGGATGAAGTCAGTCGTTTGCAGCTTGGAGTTGAAAATTCTATTAACGAGTTAGCGATTTCTCGCGACGTTCAGGACTCCTCTGCACCAGAGACAGAGGAGTCGAAAAGTGCAGTGCATACGCGTTTGGAAAGTGCAGTTGTCAGTGATGGAGGAAAAGATGTTAATGTGAACAGTATCTCAGAAATTCAAACGAACGAACGGTTATCCGACGTACAAGCAGATAACGATAGGGAATCCACCGATTCGTTCGATTCTACTAAACAAAACTTCGATACGGAGGAGGAGCGCCCGAACATCAGCAAATCACGATTCGATTCGAGAAGTGTCTTCAGTGCGACAACCACCGCTACGATTCCTCCAGAAATGATTAAAGCGAAAGTAAAGACTGCGTTGCAGAAGCGCGCGAAAGCACAACAGAGCAGAAGAGTTCTCGTCAAAGGAGAAGCGAACGCGACCACCAGAATTCGAAGAGAGAACAGAGACACCGTGAAGCAATCGACGGGAATATGGGGATGGGAGTAACATTTGAAAATTCAACAACAATCACCGAAAATAAAATGATGTTTTGCGTTGACGTTGTAGATCATTTTTTTTTCCTAAACGCTGCGCCTCTGTTGTAATATCTCAGACGTTACGAGGTTTATCTTTTGTTACGATAAGGCGATGCAGCATCGCGAAAAAATATTTGTATTATTTCTTACTGTAATAATAACTCATTCATTTAATCGCCGACGATTCGATTACATTATTACCGATTTAAACATTAATCGAATAAACGTGGCAAAGGCGTACATTAAATAGAATTTCCATTGAAAAGATAGATTAAAAAATATTACTTATGCACTTCACTCCCTTTCCGTTTCCAGCTAATACCTTTTTTCTCTTCTCCTGTATCCCCTCTTCTTCCCTATCTTTCCAGTAGGTGCTCCCATGTTTCTGTTTCGCCTCCGCATTTTCTGCACCGTCTGTCATCTTTCTCCCAGTATCTCCCCTCTTATTCAATATCTTTCTCTCTCTCTCCCTCATTTCTTTCTTCATTGCCGGCTCTCCGTTAACGATAAACAATAATTATTTTTAACCGGTACTTGATCATTAATATCTATAATCGATACTTGACCATTAATATCTAATAATTGGTAACGACGTTGATGATTGCTTCATCTAAGTGAAATCAACTGTCTTAACGTTTAATATATTTTTTATCAGAAACATTCCAATTAAGTCATTCCAATAATAATAATAATAATAAGTTATTCCATAACATTCCAATTCATTCCAAATAAGATTTTAATCGGTAATTGCCAAATTCTAGTTCAACGCATATACACGCTTTTGGAATATTTTCCGAATTATACATCGAAATTTATGAGTCAGAGATAAGATAACGCTTGGTTTGTTTGAAGTTAGATACGGGGGCAAAAAACTTTTAATCCCCCCCATTAAGAGACGGGATTTCGAATTTCGATTATTACGTACACAACTATCCGCATTTATCGTTTACCGTGCTGTATACGCAAGCAAGCTATCTCGTCTGGCTTGATCATTTTTTCTAGATTAAAATCCAAGAACCGCTAAACAAGTTACCGATAGCGAAACGTATGAGAAAAAGCACTTTTACTATCAGCATTGCATTTCTCGATTCAAGTACCGCAATAGTTTGCGTCACGAATAATGATTATTTATATCTTGAAATTAATGTAACGTTTATCTATCGTCTCGACAAGCGACGTTTTGCGCAAGTGTTCTTTCTTTTTTCACGCCTCCGAGACGCCTGACTCGACGCAGTTCGCCAGATTTATGAACGCCCTTCGACGGAACACGCTAATCAGCAAGTTCCGATAAACGGCGTTAAAAAGGAATCGCGCTCGTAACAATTTTCATAGATAGCCAGTTGTGTAAAGCCGTTGCGAAATTTTCATCGGTTTCCGAAGCAGCGAAGGACTGCGCAACAGATCAGTGGATTCTGAACTTTGAACCGAAACAAGAACGATACACTAGCTGAATCGAAGTTTGGAAAAGTACCGTTCCGAGGAGCATTTTGATTTGTTAATCGGTGAACGCGCAAGCAACACAAAATCCAGGTCGAAATCGTGGTCGAAGTGTAACATATCTTTGGGGAGGGTAGCCCGTTTTGGGAGAAAAGAGAGGGGGAGTAAGATAGAGAGAAAGAGAGGGGGAGAGAAAGACGAATTGGCCTATCCGCAGGAGTCGCGTTGTTTGTCGAAGGAGAGAACAATTTTGTAGGGTGCCGCTGATAATGCAACTCGCTGCGGTGATAGCGAGAACTAATCGTACGTATACGCTTCTACATATATCTATAGACGCGGTATATCTATATATAATGGAGACCTCGCGCTCTTCTTTCCCTGATTTGAGTTTAGCTCCAGCAGTCCGCGGTGGAACTTTTCTTTCCCGTTTCGATCCGAATCGTTCGATCTGCACGTTCGTCGCGTCGCGTCGTGATCAATCATGGCCCAGGACAATCTCACCGCAATTCTCTACGGCATAAACGATATTAGGCTGGTCTGTATGCATTTCTGAAACCGTAACTCGGAACCACCCTGCCATCGAAAAGTCGTGATTTTCAATTCCGAGGACGATTGTTTCGTCGGCCGCGATCCAAAGTATCGTCTCGTTTTTCTTTCTTTTTTTTTTCTTTTCGTCGCGCCGACACGTTACACCGGGAAATAGGCCGAATCGAAGGGCGAACAGAGGTCATTCGAGAGAGCTGTCAATTACGGTTTTCCTTTGCCGTTCTTTTTGGAAGTGTTATTTAACGAGAACAATACGAGTGGTTCGCCTATAGCTGAAAGCTCAATCAGTGCCCGGCTTGTTCACCTCGTTGGCCAGCGATTAATTGGAATTAGACGGTTGCGATTAGTCTGATTAAGCGAGCGCCGAGCAACGTCAATAACGAGCGGATCGAAACTAAACGGGACGCGACGGAACGAGACGCGGTATCGCGCGACGCGACGGATCGTTCGTGCAAGGACAAGGTTGTCTATTTCTGTCACAGTTCGTTCGTTATATGCCAGTACCTGTACGCGTTCGATCTCTTCCGCGTTATTACCCGCGTTAATGCTGAATCTAGCCGGTGTCCCAGGAAAATAGGACGCCTCAACGGGACCGACAGCAACGGCACCGTTGCTATTTGTATTTTTTTCATTCGGTCCGATGCTGTATTTTGTTGTCAATCTGCGCCAGGTTTAGTCACCTTCTCATTCTTCTCTTTCCTCTTCTTGTCCCCCTTCTTCTTCTTCCTCTCCTCCTCCTTTCCTTCTTCTTCTTCCTCTCCTCCTCTTTTTCCTTCTTCTTCTTCTCCTTCCTCTCCTCCCCCTTCTTCTTCTTCCTCTCCTCCTCCTTTTTCTTCTTCTTCTTCTTCTTCCTCTCCTCCTCCTTTTTCTTCTTCTTCTTCTCCTTCCTCTCCTCCTCCTCGTCTTTCTTCTTCTTCTTCTTCTTCTTCCTCTCCTCCTCCTCCTCCTCCTCCTCCTTCTTCTTCTTCTTCTTCTTCTTCTTCTTCTTCTTCTTCTTCTTCTTCTTCCTCTCCTTCAATCATTTTACGGAGTTTAGACAAATTGGCCAAATGATCGCGGTTCCCATTAGGTGACACTAAAAATAGCCTCCTTTTGTATGAACTTGTTACGACGCGTGGGCTTGTTATATCACAAAAGTTCATAAATGATAATACAGCGGTAACATTATTATATTCGCTCAATTCGACATAAGCTATGCTTCTGTTTCTATTGTTTCAATAATAGCCGTTTGCTCGTTAATAAATATACAAACAAACAGATGAATGAAAAGCGAACGACGTTAGTTCGTAAACGAATCAATGTGAAAGATTAAATTTGTACTAAGCGCGTATCTCTTTTTTATTCCAGGAACAAACTCCTATCGAAGAGCCCGGCGATAATGGTAAATAACCGTGTTTGTATTCGCATAGATCTGTGACTCGTCGAAATCGAAGCGAAACACATATGTATAAGACTTTAACGAAACCAACAACGAAAATATTCTTCGATCGATGCAAATGTAATATTTATTCTTGCGGAAGTACTAAATGAACATCGAATTTGCCTCGCAGATTCGAAACGGCGGCGAAGTAGTTCAAGCTTAATTTAAATCTTCAAATGGTTACGTCTACGCAAAGTAGACAATTGTTAACGTAAATTTAAATAGGACTATGACGGCCTCAATCGTCGGCGTCGGGCTGTGCATTCGATGGGAAATCCGAAGCGAAATACAATTTTAGAGCGGCACACAGCTGGCATTTAGTTTTTCCGTTCTTAAGCTGTTATCATTTCGAAGCATCTGAATAAACTCTTACGAAATTTTTTCGAAAGATCGCCGCCTATCGTGGCTACGTATGTAATCTGAGGGAATAGAGTATGACGATATACTCTGCATGGGACGTTATGCTTGAAAAGAGAAGCAAAAAAGAAATGCATAATTTTTCATTCTTATCTTAAATTTTGTTAGCGATAGAATCGACGTAAACGTAATTGTATACGGGAAGATGAAACACATAAATTCTATCAATGTTGATCTTACCCCGAACGAATCGGATCAATTTGCTTGTGCGTTTGCAGAGGTGCTGATCAAAATGGCCTGCATCGGCATCTGCGGTTCCGACGTCCACTATTTGGTAAATGGAAAAATCGGTGACTTCGTGGTGCGCAAGCCGATGATCATCGGCCACGAAGCTGCCGGCGTGGTGGCCAGGCTAGGAAAAGGTGTGAAACATCTGAAGGTACGCAAACGAGTCGTCCGAATTGGCAGTGGCATCGTTGGTTCATTTTCGCTTCCCATAATTCACGTTTTATCTTCGACGCTTCGCGTTTACCATTTTCACGCAGTACAGTAATGTCTCTCTAATTGACGCTCAGATTGAAGAAATGGACAATTTTGGAAGAGAAGATACGATTGTTCGTGCCTCGTTTTTTATGCTTATCGATTGCCAACAATTATAAAAACGAGCTGCAAGGCTCGAACAATCGTATCTCCTCTTCCCAAATTGTCCATTTTCGTGCACAATCCGAGCGTCAATCCGGGAGACATGACTGTACACCCGCTTCGATTCAGGTTGGCGACCGCGTGGCCATCGAACCCGGGGTGCCATGTAGATTCTGCAAATTCTGCAAGGAGGGCCGTTACAATTTGTGCAAAGAAATGGTGTTCTGCGCCACGCCACCGGTGCACGGCAACTTGAGACGCTACTACAAACACGCCGCCGACTTTTGCTTCAAGTAAGTAAAATCGTCGCGTGCGATTTCATAGTCACTCGAGGTTTTCACCGACCGAGTTTTGTGCTATCGAGGTTTCCGGATGGGAATTGTATCAGGGTGTCCCATAAGTTCTTTCTGCGCCGCGCTGTAAATGACTCTAACTGGTTGTGTTTATTGTATAAACTCAAACTCAATACAATCGAACTCAAACTCATCTCTTAGCTGTTAGGGTATCGGATTCAGACGTCCCAGAGCTCTTTCAGAGTACGTTTCGTTGGTGACAAAATTCCTTATAACATTTGTTCTGCGCCGTTCAATATGGATAGCCAAAAGAAGCACACACATTTGCGGCATGTTATGCTTCATTGCTTTAAAAAAAAAATGATAGGGCAAAGGACACTGCGAACGAGATTTGTACCGTTTACGGTGATGATTCTACGACTATTAGGACAGTCCGCGATTGATTTAAGAGTTTTAGAGCTGGCAATTTCGATTTGAAAGATGAAGACCGCAGCGGCCGTCCAACAACGACGGATGCGGACCTTATCAAAGATATGCTCGCTGATAGCGGATTGCCACTAACATACCCAGGACAACGGTGCATAAGCATTTAATCAAGATGGGATGTGTGAATCGATTCGAAGTTCCACACCGTCAATAGTCCCTCAATCGTTGCGAGGGCCAGGACTTCATCCGAAGAAAGTTCTTTTGTGCATTTAGTGGGACCGGAAAGGTGTGGTCTACTACGAGCTCCTTCCTCAAGTTGAAACGATCAATTCGGCTAAATATTGTAATCAACTCGATGAATTGAAAGCCGCCGTAGCAGAGAAACGGCCGGAATTGGCGAACCGACGCGGCCTCGTTTTCCATCGCGACAACGCAAAATCGCATGTCGCGTTGATCATAAGACAAAAAATTATTGCAGTTCGATTGGGACGTTCTACCTCATCCTCCGTACTCCCCAGATATTGCTCCATCCGATTATTACT